GGGACCGAAATGGCGGGAAAATTTGCAAGTTAGCAAATTTTTTGCTATATTGCAAATTTTGCTATATTTTCACTTTGAGACAATATTTATGGATAAAACTTACAGGAATTCTTGTTGAATGTATAAACTATCGAATAAAATTATTTTTGGTTGCTAGAAATTGTAATAAAATACATAAATTACCCTGTATAGCATAGTAGTAGTATATACTTCAATTTTAGTGACAAAATTACTACTAATTTGAATTATACACTTTTGTTTTTGGAGAAATTTGTATGAAAATGTTTGGAAATATGTATATTTTTATGTTTTATGTGTTTCTATTCGTTACTCATACCAAAATATTAAAAAATTAAAAAAAAAAATAATAATATTTTCTCTGTATGACATTTCGAACAATATTTCAAAACTATTTTTGTGTGAATGTGTGAAACAACGTCAAGTTATTTGAAATATGTAAGAAAACTATTTTTACTTACATTTTACACTAAAAATAAATGAGAATTTGAAAAATAACACATTTATGACCCAACCGCCAAAATGGGCCTTCCGGATTTTGAAGTACTTTTGGCAATTTACTTTTCACTTTTTTATACCACAAATTATATATCTACGTGTTTACTATATTACAAGGAATATAAAAAAGTATAATACTTTCGTTTTTAGTCCAGACACAAATATAAAATTCTATAAAAAAGACGGAGCACCTTCATCAAAGCGACACGTGGAACGCCGAAAGTTTAGAGTGATTTCTTTTTTTTTTCTAAGAAACATTGCCAGGTTATGGTTTAAAATAAAAGAGCATATCTTTGTCTTTGATACTATTATTTATTGCATATTGTCTTTGGTTTTGTTTTAAAGGAAAAAATAGTTTTTTCATAAGGCAGTACTTCTGATCCGACCTGATCTAATTCGACCTGATCTAATCCGACCCGTACCAGAGCCGACGTAAGGTAGGTATTGTATGATCTGATTAGATCTGTAGCCGAGTGAACGGGAATTGGACTAGATTTAGTCGCCCCCAGTCCGAGATTTTATTCAATAAAGTCTCAATTTCAGACACAAGTTTGTCCCGGAACTCGGCGACGTTTTCCCGAGAAATATTGGCACGGCCGGTGTATAAAGCATCACCAGAGCTGTCGTCTGCATAGCAATGAATGTTAACGGTTTGCAACATGTCATTGATATGCAGAAGAAACAGCGTTGGTGATAGCACGCAGCCTTGTGGAATACCAGCGTTAAAGTAAAGTAAAGTTACAGCCTATATACGTCCCACTGCTGGGCTCAGGCCTCCCCTCATTTCTGAGAGGGCTTAGCGCAAGGAAGTGTCCGCCGCGCTGCCCAAATGCGTGTTAGCGAACTTCACATGTCTTCGAAATATTTTTTTTCTTATTCCTCAGACATGCAGGTTTCCCCACGATGTTTTCCTTCGCCGCCGAGCACGTGGTAAATCAGCACTTAAAATTGCAATTAACAATTTCATTGGTGCCGGCGGGGATCGAACCCAGGTTACTCGTGTTCTGTTATATTTACAGCGAGCGTTAACCACTGAGCTACCACGGCTTATAATTAGAGCATGCGCTGTCTACTACGACCTTGATATTCCGATCAGCAAGAAAACTGGTGATCCAATTGCACAATTTCTCGGGCAGCCCATTCGGATTTAATATTTACAATATCAAAAGATAACCAAAGTACCGATTACAAACGTAACTTATTTTTTATTTCTTTAATCCATTAACAAGAGGCGAAAGAATCTGAGCCCACAGCATTTTTGCGAATTTTGAACAGAAAAATTGACATTATTTGTGGGTTATGATACATACAACTAATTGTAAATATTTTTATAGTTCTTATAAAAGCAGAAAAAATTCGATCTCCATTTTAGGGTAAAATATCGACTCACTAGATCGATTCAGTACTGTATATCGATTTAAATATTAAAAATCGATATACAGTACTGACCCACTCGAAACACAGTCACGAAAAAACCCACTACACGGTGTTGATGGGAGACTTCAACGCAAAACTGGGCACAAGAGAAAGCGGTGAGCTGAAGGTGGGGAAATTTGGAGTAGGGCAACGGAACCGAAGGGGCCAGCAACTGGCTGACTTTATGGAGAAAGAGGGATTCTTTATGATGAACTCTTTCTTCCAGAAGCGGCCCCACAGGAAGTGGACCTGGTCGAGCCCCGACGGTTCGACAAAAAATGAGATTGACTTCATTATGACGACAAGACGCCAACTGTTCAGTGATGTCTCAGTGATCGCAAGGGTGAAAACTGGAGCGATCACCGAATGGTTAGAAGCACACTGAACCTAAATGTTAAGTTGCAGAGGTCTCGTCTAATGAAGTCAACGCTCCGTCCCCCTCGTGCTCTAATCCAGAATCCCGAAACCTTTCAGCTCGAGTTACAAAACCGCTTTCAGTGCCTAGAGGATTGCAATGGAGTGGACGATATGAATGACAAGCTCGTGGAAACTGTCCATGCGGTCGGATCTAAGTTCTGCAAGACCCGCCGCAGAAACAACACAAAAACTCTCCGATCACACTCTTAATCTCATGGCTGTTAGACGGGAGATGAGGCTGCAATCGTCAACAGATTTGACAGCATACAGGCAACTGAACAGACAGATCTCCAAATGCATGCGGCGAGACTTACGCAACTTTAATACTGCTCGTATTAAAGAAGCGATCGAGCGGAACCAGGGCTCCAAAGTCTTTGCCAGAGACCTGTCTGCCAGAAAGAGCCAACTGTCAAGGCTGAAGACTGAGTGTGGCAACATCGTTTCCGGGACACCTGAGATTCTGAGTGAGATTGAGAGGTTCTATGGGCAGCTGTACACATCATCGTTGGAGCCACACGCAAGTGTGAGTAACGATCCAAGAGCAAGTCTTATCCGACACTATTCCGATGATATCCCGGACGTCAGTCTGAGCGAGATTAGAATGGCTCTCCAGCACCTTAAAAACGGCAAGTCCCCAGGCGAAGATGGAATTACAGCGGAGCTTCTGAAAGCGTGTGGAACACCGGTACTTGAAGTCCTTCAGAAGCTCTTCAATTCTGTCCTCCATGGTGGCACTAATCCGGTGGCGTGGAGCAGAAGCGCGGTGGTCTTGTTCTTTAAGAAAGGCGACAACGCTCTCTTGAAGAACTACAGACCGATTCCCTTCTGAGCCGCGTCTACGTGCTGTTTTCGAGAGTCATTACGAATCGTCTCGCACGCAGACTCGACGACTTCCAGCCTCCCCAACAAGCCGGTTTCCGAAAAGGCTCCAGTACCATAGACCACATACATACCCTTCGGCAAATTCTACAGAAGTCCGAAGAGTACAATCTGCCACTTTGCCTGGGGTATGTGGACTATGAGAAAGCCTTTGATTCCGTCGAAATTTGGGCGGTGCTACAGTCTCTTCAGCGTTGCCTAGTTGACTGTCGGTATATTGAAGTGCTGAAGTGTTGTGTTGTTTTTGTGTGTGTGTGTGTGAAGTGAAGTGTGTGTTGTGTACAGTAGGGCTACGATGGCTATCCGAGTACAGAACCAGAGTACGAAACCTATCCAACTGCAGAGAGGTGTAAGACAGGGTGATGTTATATCCCCGAAACTCTTCACCGCTGCGTTGGAAGACGTTTTCAAGCTACTGGACTGGAAACGGTATTAACATCAATGGCGAGTACATCACTAACCTTCGATTTGCCGACGATATAGTCCTTATGGCAGAATCGTTGGAGGACCTTAGCACTATGCTCAATGACCTCAATGGTGTCTCCCAACGGATAGGTCTTAAGATGAACATGGACAAAACGAAGATCATGTTTAATGTCCATGTCACACCTATGCCGGTAGTTGTTGGGAGCACTATGCTCGAAGTTGTTGACGAGTACGTTTACCTGGGACAAATAGTCCGACTAGGTAAGTCCAACTTCGACCGATAGGTCAATCGACGGATTCAACTCGGCTGGGCAGCGTTCGGGAAATTACGACATATCTTCTCGTCAGGTATACCTCAATCTCTGAAAACTAAACTATAACCAGTGCGTGTTGCCAGTGATGACTTACGGATCTGAGACGTGGTCCTTCACCGCTGGCCGTATGAGAACGCTCAAGGTCGCTCAGCGAGCTATGGAGAGGGCTATGCTCGGAGTTTCACTGCGTGATAGACTCAGAAATGAGGATATCCGCAGTAAAACCAGAGTGACCGACATAGCCCAACGGATTAGTAAGCTGAAGTGGCAATGGGCCGGCCATACAGCTCGAAGAACCGATAACCGATGGGGAAGAAAGGTTCTCGAGTGGCAGCCTCGTACCGGTAGGCGTAGTGTAGGGCGACCCCCCACTAGATGGAGTGACGACCTGGTAAGACATGCAGGAAGTCGATGGATGCAGGTGGCTCAGGACCGTGCTTTGTGACATTACTTGGGGGAGGCCTATGTTCAGCAGTGGACAATGATGATAATGATACAGTACTGAATATTTTTGGCACAAAAAATCGATTCTTCGATTAATCGATCTGAGATCGACGTGCCTAATCTAGTCTTTTTAAGATGTATGAGCCCGTATGAGCCAGGCTCCATCGCATTTAAATAATTAAAAAAGGAAAATGTCAATTGTCAACTGTCATCATAATGTACAAACAAATTTGTTTACAAATGTAAAATAAAAGCGCCAGAGCGCCAGGGAAAAATTTTACAAATCTTGTTATATTTTTTTTTGTATTGAAGAAATCTTGTATTTTATTGACAAAAATTATTTGCTATGTTTACTTACCATGTTATAATTTAAACATTAAGTAGTTGAATATTGCCACTAATATTGTTATTTAGTTTTACCTACACAATTTGTTGAGCCTGAATGAATAAAATTAAACGAATATGGATATATTAACCGAACCGAATATAAATAAGGGGGTGTACGAGCTTTTAACGGATTTATGCCGTATAACAACATCTTCATATTGCTATAAAAGTAAAGTGTCACAAACTATTCTGCTATCCAAAATGAGATCCTTGTGCTACGAGATAATTTTGAAGAAGAGTTCTATTGAATATACATTTTCGAGGAACGAGGCTTCTATTGATTTTCTGTCATATTGTTTCGAGTCACAGCAAAATATTAAGAATGTTGCTGAATATAAGAGATTTATAAAGTTGAAAGAATTGATGAGCATCATGCGCAAAACAGACTTTGGTGAACTTAAAGACACGTTTCAAACTGTATTGAAACTACTTATTGGTCTTCAGAATACACAAAAACCAGATTTAGCGTCCGAAATGTTTCAGGTTCGAAAGTTACAGAAATATTTATTTTATGTATTATATGAAATATTTAACTTTATATTTATTGAATTTCTAAAGTAGAATTTAAATAATAACGTTTAATTTTCACATGATGTTCATTTTTAACAATTTTTTTTAGTTTAACTTGGTTATTTAGTAATTTATTATAATTTAATAAGCTGCTTTTAAAAGTATTTGTTATTTTTAAGTATTGGAAAAAAATAGGAATTTATGTATCCAAATAAAATACTGTTTAAGTATAAGAGTGAGTGTTAGGGGAAACCAATTGGCCATTCAGAAATAGAAATAGAAACAGAATATTTTTTATTTAATATAGATTATAAATAATACTTAGGCAAAGTCACTCTTTAAATTCAATGTCAGGCTGTTATATTAAAGGTCTAGAATGGCAGTCAATCAAGTCATTCGGAAAACTGCTACACCCCATGCTCCACACAACACTACCAAATCAGTTATTACAGTAATCTAACAACTAAATAAATAGATGATTTGTATATTGTGATAGCTTTGGTAGGTTTTGAAAGAGTCATTTTTATTCAAGAATACTTAGAAATGTTGTTTCATTAATATTCCACTCAATATATTAAACGGGAAACATATGTATTTGCATCCTTCATCATTATCATTACAGCCTTTCACAAGTCTACTGCTGAACATAGGCCTCCCCTAAAATGTCACAAAGAGTCACTACATCTAGTGGATAGACGCCCCAAACTTTGCTTATCATATTGAGGTTACAACTCGAGAACCTTCCTTCCCCATCACTGGTCAGATCTTCAAACTATATGGCTATCCCATTGCCAGTTAACTTCACTTTCTTAGCAAATGTATTAAATAGTATTTTTATCATCCGCCTCATCTGATGGTTGTGCCACTATGAAGTATAGATAATATATCTATGAGCTAAGACATCAATTTTTTTCTGCTGTGATTCTTATATAATAGCCCGAGTCTCTTTTGTAGCACTTTTTCCAGATAGCTGCTTTTAGTGTGTGTGGTAACATTTTTATTCTATTCTCATACAATTTTTAGATTTTAGTTTTAATTTGAATACATGAACAAACTACTCATAAGTCTATGTGATACTAACTATCTGTCATACATGTCTATGTCTTAAGCAATATGCAGTATATAACAATATTACTGAATTAGTAAATAACTAATTAAGATAGTATGAATTTTGGTTAGATAATGTGAACGAAATTTGGAAGACTAAATCCTCCAAATTAAAATAAAAGAGTATATCATGACTAATTATGTACGTCTGTACCAAAAATTATGGTGCTTAAATTACAATTAAACCAAAAAATATTATTTAAAGGTAAAATTTTAAGTAAAGTGATTTTAATGATTTCTAATGTTTACGCTAATACGACTTTTATATGTGGTAGAACCATGCTGCAGCTATATAAACATTATAGTCGTAGGATGAATGGATTGGCTTGACCGGGGAAAAACCACACACTGAATACAAGCATAAAATAGCAGCTCAATGCTGCTGTATTTCATATAGTGAGTGTAGTGTTGGAGATCCTTTTTACTGGAAATGAGGCATTCCATCTTAGTCCTCACGAGTGACTATGCATCTGCATTTTGATTTGTAATTGAGGATAGATGTAGATGTTCACATGTAAAGGGCCACAGTAACCACTTACCATAAAGTGGATCCTATTGTGTAACTTATATGTGAAAATTGTGGTTGGTTTCATCTTGACATTTGAATTTTTTGTATTGTTAAAATTTATAAATCTTTATTGCGCAGAAAAGTCACTCAATAAATCAATGAGCTAAGCAGAGTAACTTAAGCAGATGCCATAAAAACGTATTACATAAAATATGTTGTAAAAATCTATCCAAGCTGTGAGGGGGCTTTTTGGTATTGTAATATGATTTGTTTGTGCAATAATTTCAGGGAATAAATAAGAATTATTCCCTGCAAAAAAAATTCAGAGAATCTTAAACGGCAAACAGTATTGTGCATATTAAAAGCCAAAGCTGTAATGAAATATAGATAACTTATAGATAACTTCATAATTCTTCGGATTTACATAAAATATTATTTTAAATCGTATGAGTACGCTTGTGCAAAGTTATTGCGGAATGATTAATGTGAAATGTCAAAAGGGCAAAATCAAAATCTGATAGTGGAAGCATTGAGTAATTGTGTTCTGTGTATGGTATGAATGTAATCAATTTGGTCATAAGAGTGTTAATATGTATGGAATGAACAAAAAGTAAATTAGAAAAAAAGCCGGAGAAAAAAAAAAAAAAGAAAAAAAAAAAAAAAGAAGAAGAAGAAGAAAAAAAGAAAAAAAATGATAGAAGAATATGGGATAACTTCCAGACAAATATTAAAATGTTCTGGAAACTCATAGGAACTGCCAGGGGACATTCAAAACAGCCTATAATGAATGCTACGAGAGACGAGAATGTTTTTATATCTTAATTTAGGATACAACTATAGTCATAATGAGAAAACCTAATGCAGAGTGATTCCCACTATAGAACAACTCCCACTAGTTTCATAAGCACACAGCAGTTCATTTTAAGTTTTGTGCAAGGTCTAAATGTTTTAAATATCTAATTTTTTTAATGAAAGGCTGCAAATTTTAACCAAAATATTCTTGGAAAATTGCGAAGTAGTAGTATTTTAATATGTGTTTAATTTTTCAGCAACCTTTTTCATTTGGTATTCTTGATGAGATGTTACCAAAGCTGCCCAGAGAACCATTTGGATCACCTCAACCATATCCATACTTCCCTTCCTATATATTTGAGTTGCCATATACAATCAAAAAACAGGCAATGCTATTGGATAACCGAAATTCTTCAACTTACACAGAGTACACAGTGGAGAATTTTGATTCCAGGTCATGTAAGTGTTTCCTTTTATATTATTTACTATAAGGGATTTATCACTAGCACTATTTAAAAACCTTTTGTAAACTCAAGAAAGATAGTTTGGGGTGGACGCTTGGGATCTAAACTAATTATGCCTATATATACCTCCAACTTAATTTCATTGAATGGTGATAAACCAATAAAATTAAATGAAGTGAACAATTTTTATTCAATAAAGATTATTACACAATACTTATTGAAAGTCGTGGGAAGAACCAGCAAGAAACCCAGCAGGACTTTTTTGATCATATTTCACTTTACAGTAATTTATATAGAACCAGCATAGTGGTGATCACCTCATTCCCTGGGGTAATTTTCATTTACGTATTTTTTGATATTAGAATAACACTTTTTGTACAGTTTTTAATCTTTTTAATTATATTTTCATAAATATATTGCAATGCCAAAGTTAATATGTTTTTTTTATTTTTCTCTAAGACACTTTACAATATAAAGTTATAAATTGCCGGTACGACTCTTATTTACAAAACAAATATGGCTTCAATGTCAGCCGCATTACTCCATAGCAAAATTCCATAAAACATAACTAAAATAAATTAATCTAGCTGTCTCAACATTGGTGAGACTTCTAATCTTTCTTACAGCATATGCTGGAGAAATAAGTCTGCCTGCTAATTTAGATATATGTTAAAGGAGTCAGGTCTCGTCGCGGCTGGCTTCTTGCGCCGATATATACGGGGGCACCATTGAAGTTTCGCGTCAATAGTAATACCAAGAAAAACAGTGGTATCCACAAGACTCAACTCTTCCCCATTTACACACACATTGGTACTTGAATGTTAAACATTAGGTATTGTAAATTTAATACATTTTGAAATGGATTAAATTTACAATACCGATCTATTGAAGAAATCCAGACGAATCCCGACTATCTGGCAACCCTAGTTGTATCATAACTGTATTTTGTATCCCGAGTATACAGAACCGCTTAGATATATAGATGTAAAATAACGGGCAGTTTTCCGCAACTCTACGTCTAAGTGCGTATTTTGCATGTAGGCATAAATAATGTAATTATTCGAGCCATGAAAACTCCCTGAAGAAGTTCATTGCGAGCAACTTCCAGGAGTGACCCCGGCGTGCCGTGATTTTTAGCCAGCGACCTCCGGACATGTCAGCAACACGTGGTCCGCCGTTTCTTCTTAACCAATACATGCCCTGCACAGGGGACTATCTGTAACACCTATGGTAAATAACTCTTTGTTAAAAGAGTCATGTCCTGTGATAGCACTTGTGTGATCACACTAACCTGATTGGTGGCTTGTTCAATCTCATTCAAACCGTGATTAAATGGCCTCCCTAGCTTGTCTACAGTGTACTAGATTTTTCCAAAGCTGAGTGAAGTTTACCAAACGAGATTGGTATGATTGGTTTCAGCCCTATTGGGCCAGATTCGATCCTTTCCTGGCCAGCCAATTCATCTGCCGCGTTGTTTCCCCCGGATCCACTGTGTCCCCTGATCAATTGCAGTTGTTGTGTTTACATATCTTATTTAGTCGTTGCATTCATATATTAGTCCCGAGTTCACCACATCGCAACTCAGATCTTGTAGTCCCACCATGCTGTCGGTCAATATTCTGATGGAGAAGTTTTTTACCTTACTGGCATCTATTGCTATGACCGCTTGGGTGATACCAATACACTGCCTGAAATTAAAGTGTTGTGGGTGCCAAGCGGTGAACATATGGGAATATTATTTATTATTTACCTTCATTACATTTTTTTGGGCCACCATACGAGAGCACCGTATGTGATCATTACGAATAACGATTTTGTATAGCCACAGTATAATTTTTGGCATGGACAGAATGTTAAACTAGCCTTATTGATTTTATTTTCTATGTGTTTATTATGCTCGGTAGAGTGTCACAAAATACGATCGAAACGCCCTACTTTAAAATGAAAGGAATTTCAGGTGTTAATATCACAACCACACCAAAGAAAAGTGTTGGCTCTCGCCACTATATACCTCAGAGACGATTACCTCAACCCTCCAGGACTGCTTCATCCCGCGTACGGCGCTCGACTGCACAGGTCCTAGCGCAGGTGGGTGTGTTAGTTTACCGGATACGCCCATTGTTTCCGGCGGAACAATCAGTCTTTTAGAGGGAACTTAGGACTCCTTTGTCTCTTCTAGCCAACCCTCCTCTTTTATTCGGACTAGGGAGTGGCTGTACCAAACTTGTTAAGTAGGCTTAGAGAGCTGTATCAAAATTAAGAAACATATATCAATATTTTTTTCAGATCTTCCAGAAAAAACGTATTCAGAAATGCGGGGGCTAACTGATAAAACTTTTATGAGCCCAATGTCTCTGGTGTCAATTTCATCAACAGGCTACTCTTCTTACACGGAAAATAATATATTAAACTACCCCAGGCTGACAGCTCCTCGGGATCTTAAAATACCATTTTGTTTAGAGTCTTCAGATGTCAAGGTGAAAGTAAGTGTTAATGGATAAATTTCTGATATTACTATTAAATAAGCATGTTTTTAGTGAACAATATAAGATGCCTAATAGTAACTTAACACGTGCGTAACACAAATACTGTTAGAACGCACGCGCGGGTTACAAGTGTAGCCCACTTGCAAATTATGTATTTTCCTAATTAGGTCAAAAAAACAAAATGCAATACATAGCTACTAAACATCTTTATTTATATAATATATTGGCACAAAAAATCGACCAAAACTTAGCTTCATAATTATTTATTTTTAACAAAAACATTAACTTCATAAAAATCAAAGTTATTTGGACGCATTGAGACCACTTGGACTACAACTTTACAACTTTATTTTAAATTTAGAAAGTAATTTTTATTAGGTTCTTTATTTCTTATCTAATTTAACCAACAGTCAAGTCTCTTCATATAAAATCACTCTGTTACTATGCATTCTGGACAAACGACTGCCTGATGATCGCTACAAATGCGTCGCTTGCATTCACTGTATTGTTTGCACGTACTGGGTTTGCGAGCCCTGCTGCAAAAAACGCAACGTCCAATGCTTCCATCCAATTGATCCATGTTTTTACAATATCATCCGGTAATGGTATCAATATAAGTGTTTGTTTGTCGAATCAACAAGAACGTTTCAAATATCAGCATCGAAAAATAGCAGGAATGATATAAGAGTCGTTGTGCCATCCTTTTTTCATAACTATTGGGCCTGGTGCACAGACCAAAATGTTATGAGATCTTGTTCTTAAAGTAGGCGGTGGAAACCATTTTGTACCATTAAGAGACTGATAGGATGCTAAGTCCGACAGAGGAATATCTTTATCATCATATTATTTGCCTTTTTGTTCGGTCGGTGAGGAGATCCTTGCTGTTCGTCGATACTTTGTTCGGCGAACCAGGGCCTGATTTTCCCTCAGGCTAACCAGGCTGGAGCCTAGAGCGCAAGGTTCGAGGGGGCGCTAAGCCTTGCCTTTGAAAGTACATTTACGTTCAAACTAAATTTTTGTATGATATTCTAAATAAGTATAGAGTAAGTGCCGCAAGTATTTTATCTTTCTTTATTTTTGGTACAAAACAAATAAATAGATTATAAAACTAAGATGAATCTTTTGGTACCTTTCATCTTTCGTTTACTGACTGGACATGATTCAAAGATTTATAAACTGCGCAAGCTCTATTCTTTACCTTTAATTTTATTTAGATATTTAATTTTATTAGAATTTCAGAACGTTAGCCATCTGTTCCATGGGTGTGTGTGCTTGTGTGCGTATGTGTGTATGTGCGCGCGCGCACGCTCGCATTTTACTTAGCTAATACTGATTAAGGGCGTATACTACCTCAGCTAAAATTCTAATTTTGCCCCCACTTACCCGCGCGTCGTATGCTATGTACCGACATGTTTGTAATCATTAATATACTGTGTATATGTATGTAATTTTACGTTGTTCTGTTGCGTAATGTGTATTCTGATCGTAAGCGACACAGCTTTTCCGTTTGAAAACCGAAGCGAGACTGAGCGGCGTTATCGGGCAGCAGGGAACAAGCTTCAGGAAGCCGATAGTTTAGCTAATTTCTTTTTTAATGAAAATAATGGTAAATATTTTTTTTTAAACATAAGCCCTGCTTTATAGTTAGTTCAATTAGCATGCAAAGTTTCATGATCTAATTTATAGTATTTTGTGAATACCAGCGGTTTATTGTTCGGTTTGGAGGTAACTTTGGATTTTTTTTTATCGATAAAATTTTACTATATATTTAATTATTTATTTCAAAATTAATGCTGCAATATTTTCCGCATCACGGAGGATCTTGTTAAGCCATTTGAGGTAGTATAGCTCCTTAAGATAAGTTGAGTTTCCTCGTATGTAAGAGCTTTTAGCCACTCTATTAAGGCTTGTTTACAGGTATAGGCAACATAGGATATATATTTAATTTAAAATTCAATTTATTATATGTTTTTTTATAGAATAAGGAGCAAACGAGCATGCGGCTCATCTGATGTTAAGTGATTACCGCCGCCCATGATCAACCGCAACACCAGGGGAATTACACGTGCGTTGCCGGCTATTTAGAAAGGAGTAAGTTCTTTTCTTGAAGGTCCCCAGGTCGTATCGGTCCGGAAAAATCGCCGGTGGTAAACTATTCCACAGAGAGGTCGTACGCGAAAGAAAACTCCTTCTGAAACGTACAGTGGTAGACCTCCAAGCATCCAGATGGTGTTGATGGTATCGGGACGTTTGCCACGTAGTTGTTCACGAAATTTGGCGGCTGGGATTAATCCGAACAATTCCTCAGAGCACGCCCCGTGATAGATGCGATAAAATACGCAAAGAGATGCAACATCTCTTCGCAACGCCAGTGAATCGAGCCGATCGGAAAACACCCGGTCGTCGACGATTTGAGCCGCTTTGCGCCGGATGCGGTCAAGTGGAAGGAGCTGGTACAGGGGAGCTCCAGCCCAGAGATGGGAACAGTATTCCATGTGCGGCCGAACATGCGACTTGTAAAGTTGCAGGCGTTGTGTCGGCATAAAATACTGTCCCGCTCTGCTGAGCACGCCAAGCTTTTTAGAGGCCAATTTGGTCTTCTCTTTCAAGTGACCACGAAACTGCACGTCACTCGATATGTCGACGCCGAGGTTTCCGATACTGTCTGAGGCAACAAGCGAGTGCCTGGGGATACGACAAAGGGGTTCTTTTTAGCGGTAAACGCGCAAACTTGTGTCTTTTGAGGGTTAAACTGGACTAGATTTAGTTGCCCCCAATCCGAGACTCTGTTCAGCACAGACTCGACTTCAGACACAAGTTTGTCCCGGTACTCGGAGAGGAACTGCACTTCTGGCATGGAGCACTCACACCGCGGGATGGTCGGCGGCGTACTCCCCCGTCATCGAGAGTCGAGTTGGACGCAAAGAAAGAGCCTAGCAGATCGGCTTTCTCCTTTGCGGTATGGGCCAGTCGTCCTCCCTGTGCAGAGATGGAAGAGATGGCTGACAGAAATTCCCCTGAACAGCCTTGGCGAGAGACCAGAATACACGAGCTCCAGAAGGAAGGCGAACTAGTTTCCCGACAATTCTGCCTAAGTGCTTTGACTCTGCCTTGGCAATGATTCTTTTGAAGGACCTGCAGGCGGAATTATACTTCTTTTTTAGAACGCTGGTGTTTACATCCAGAGACGTTGATGCGTTAGCCCAGGCTTGTGTGCACTCCTGCTTATAGCATGATGCTATTTTACAGGAGCGACCAAACCATGGCTGAGATTTGCCTCCGATGGGCACCACAGAGGAAGGAATAAAAAGTTCCATACCCTGAAGTACCACATCAGCGACAGAATCCGCAACACAACATTGTGATCATCCGGCGAAAAGCAAACCGCCTCCAAGGGTAGGATGCAAAGAAAGACCGCATCCTATCCCAATCGGCTGACCTGACTGTTCCAAACACGGCGGCAGCCTGCAGAATGACACTGCGATTTCAGCGTGAGTGTGTGTGTGCATTGTGTGCTAAACTGACGTCTGGCACAAGCAGTATGGACCCTAGGGGAATGTGCCACAATATCTTTGCGTCTTCTATCCAGGTTAGCTGGAGTGAATGAGAGTGTCTTATGCAGGTGCAAGGTTATATTTAAGAGATATAGTTTTATGACCGTAATTAAATCACTAAACCTGTAAAACTTTACTGTAGGGTACCTGTAGGACTTAAAAGACATTACTTTTAGGAACGACCTCTGGGCTCTTTCTAAATCTATAGTCAACCAAATCTAAGAAATATATTTTGATTTATTGCACCAGGAATGCCAACCAAAAAATGGGAACGTACAATATTAAATTTTAAAACAATCGATATCGATTATTTAGAGTTAGTTGTCATTTGCAGTTTGTTTTGAATAATTCCAGAATAAATTTAAAACAAATAATTTAAAACACAACATTTATCAGTTTCTTCGTGTTTGTTGTTACAGCTTATTATTTCTAGAGATAAAGTTATAAAAAATTAATTCAGTACAACTAGTTAAGCTGTCGTTTAGATTAATTATTACTTGATTTTTAATAATGCAGTTAAAATTAATGTCTCTTTTAAAGTTATCCATAATCAATTTTTTTTTGTTTTTTCTAACACTTTTGCTCAATCATCCTTTATGACATGGGCACATGCTTCAACGAATATAGAAGAAACAGTACAAAAAGTTAAAGCCGAGTCACAAAATCAGAATACAATCACAAAATAACGCACAATAAGCTCCCGAAATGGTGGGAGATTGAAATTACGTAGTGGTTTTTTCAGCGCGGACTTGTAATATGAGTTTTTTTGCCTACACAAATTTACGTTGACAAAGCAAAATAAAATAAACTTGTTTTATTCATGATTCATGTAATTTAAGGAATTGTAAAAATAACATTTTTATTAAACAAATAATTACATTAAATAATTAATGATTCGATTATTTGAATATTGTTGCCGATTATTCGCATAACAATGAATTTTAATCATTCAAATACTACGTAAGGTACATAGCGGACTCTATCATTGAAACATCGTCAAGTAAAAAAGTTGATACTGGTATTTTTTTTAAATATTTTGCTTTGTTTGAAAAATTCGAATTTAAATTAGTGATAAAAAACTATTCACATTGTAATGAAATATAGATAACTTCATAATTCTTCGGGTTTACGTAAAAGGTTTTTTAAATCGTGTGAGTACGCTTGTGCAAAGTTTTTGCGAAATGATTAATGTGAAACGTCAAAAGGCATTTCTTAGATTTGGTTGACTATAAAAATTTAGTTTTTGTGACACCTCCCAATACCGGTACGTTATGACGGATTGTTCCAGAGCAATGTATGCCTTTCTGAATAATTGAGCTGGCGTAACGTGAGGCATATTTTTGATATTTGACATAAGACACAGGTTTATGCATCTACCGCTAAAAATAATCCCTTTGTGGTATCTCAATAATTTTAGGGCACGTTCCATGCCGCTGCCTCAGTCGGTATCGGAATCGTTGGCATCGACATATTGAATGACGTGCAGTCGCACGGTCACTTGGAAGTGAAGGCTTCTGAAATGCTTGAAGTGCTCAGCAGAGTAGAGTTAGTCGTAGGTTCGTCCTCACATGGAGAACTGTTCTCATCTCTAGACCAGGGCATCCCAGTGCCAGCTCCTTCCACCTGACCGCATTCAGGGAAAAGTGGCTCGAATCGATTTGAAAAATTCACTACCCCTTATTTTGCCGTGGGTGTTGTAATAAGCAACTATAAGAAAAGGAAACAGGCTTAGCAGAATTTTCCTGATAACTAATTAATTATAGTAAAAATGTGGTTTCGGTCCCACATCCACGGCGTAGCAATTAAGGCAAATATCCCTCCTCCCTCCCTATGAGGCAAACCATGGGGGAGGCCTATGTTCAACAGTGTACATGTAGTGAGCAAATGAAAAATATTATAAACACAAAGGTAAATATGTGATCTAATTTTTATAATATTCACAGCTACAATTTTAGTGATGCTGTAAATCATTATGAAATTATTACTTATTTGTATATAAAAAAATTTGGGGAACTTAATTTTTATTTCGTGTTTTATAGATAAAAACGTTGTTCACTCACTATAATTCCTCCTGTATTGTGGAGGTAGTTTACATACATAAATTTCACAAGGATAAACATCCAGACCCCGAAAAATCATTTGTAAACCATACAATTCTTGTTCCGTGCGAGATTCGAACCCGCCGCCCTCAGCACCCCAACTCATTGCTAAGCCACTGAGCCACGGGGCTCTTATAAAACCGTGATGATTATGTTTAAGTTTATTTTGAAAATTATTAAAAATGCTTGCTTGCTATGGTTCTTACATACCCTTTAAACTGGGCACAGCTGTGGATGTTGCTTGGCTTGGCTTTGCTAATGGAAGCACTCGCAATGCCTCTTTAACAACAACAGAAGTGGCTGGTTTAAGCAGCGCATTTAATTAGTCGCATTAAAAAAACATGCATGCAGCTCACACGCGACAGAAGTGAAACCTACAAATTAAATGAAATATAAAATACAGATACTTTACGGCAAATGATTTATTTAATATTATAATTTAAACTACAAGTTGGGCATAAAATATAAGAAATTTTAATTTTATGTAAATAAATGTAACAAACCTTTTAATATATATGTATTTACAAAAAGATTTATATCAATTTTACCTATTACGAAGTTGAGGTTTGGCCGTTCTTCACTGCTTGTTTATTCCATAGGCACACGACACCTTCGTACCTTGTTGAACAAAACGCGTAAGCGACGCCGTTTCGGCGGCGTTTACGACTTTTTTCTCGCGAGCTTTGGACTATAATGCTTCCTATCTCATTTTCTCTCACGTTGAATGTTATGAATTCATGTCTGTCCCTTTTTACTGTCGCTTTTTCGTTTCATAGACTTTCAAATCACAACGATGCTAAAGAAGTTTTCACTTCAAAAACGAGCATGTGACTCATCTGATGGTAAGCGACCACTGCGAGCCATGACATTTTTTTATAGGATATGGGTGACGAACGAGCACACAATTTACCTGATGGTAAGTGGTTGCTGCGGCCCATAGACATCTACATCTATCCTCGATTACGAATCAAAACGTAAATGCGTTGTCACTCGTGAAGACTAAGATGGAATGCCTCCTTAAAAAGGATATTATGAATCGTTTACCACCGGCGAATTTTTCGGACCGATACGACTTAGCGATCTTCAAGAAACGAGCTTGTTTTTAAGAGGCCGGCAACGCACCTGTAATTGGCACTGGTATTACAGTTGTTCATGAGCAGTCGACAATTACCATCAGGTGAGCCGCATGCTCGTTTGCCCCCACTTCTATAAAAAAAAACATGGCCCGCTTAGCCTGCTTTAACAGTTTCCCTGTCTGCGAAATAGACACAATGGTTAAAACAACCGAAATCATATATGATTCATGGGACTGGGAAAGGGTTAAAACTCGCCAATTTGACATCAACACACCAATAACACATAGGTGTTAAAGGTGGTAGTTTAACACAGAAATGCTGCTCGTTGTCCAAATTCTTTTAATTTTTTATAAATATGTTCTCTGACATCTTTGTTTAAAGTTATAAGTATTAATTATTATTAAAAATATTTTTTTGTGAAACGGTGATTTATCAAAACTTGAATCTTGAAGAGTAAATTAAGTATAACAAATACGATTTAGTAAATTTTTAAATTTTTGTTGAGATTCATATTGTGTAAATGATGAAGATAGAAATAAACGTTATTTAAAAATTGAATGAAATATTAATCAAAGCCTGCATTCTGTCCCTTTAATATCTACCATTTACTGGTGGAAGTTGCATGATATCTTTCATCACAGTAAGTAGTGACAATTTTATTAGTGCTGGTACAACTCAGATTGCATGCCAATCCTGAGCCACTACAGTTATGCTCAGCACTGAGAGGAAAATAACTAACTTGGCTTAATAACATTCTGTGTCAGTTTTACAATTGCTTATGTTATTAACATGACTTAAAGTTCACTTATCTTCAATTGTAAAAATCATTTATTCAACATAAATTTCATTTATTTCACTTTAGGTTACATTACCTGCCTCCAACAGTGAATGTTGTTTAGAAGAAATGTTCAGAGCCCGACAGAATTCAGTTGATATTTGGGAAATAGCAACTCAAGTTGATAAAAATGTACCTGATGACATTTGGGATGTTGTATGTAAGTTGATCAACGTTCATTTTTCTACTCTATTGAGCTGATCCAGTGGCGGAACTCAAATGCACCCTCCATGGAGCCTCAATTAGAAGGGTCTAATTAAGCTCCATCACTCAATTAGGTATGTATAGGAATATTTTTGGCTGGTAATAGATTCTGATAGGTTGTAGTTTAGTTAATTTACAGTGGGCTATATTCCGTAACTCCACTTCTAAACGCATATTATGCGAGTGTGTGTCATGACATCTCGGAGAAAGAAGCTCGGCAGTCCCTTGATCTTGCAAGTAAACTCGGCGAATGATCTCGGCGTGCCGAGATGTTCATGTATGCAGTAGCCTATGGACATGCCAACAACACGTAGGCCGCAGGTTACTTCTTCCTCATACGTGCTCTGCACAGGGGGCTATCTGTAACACCTATACTAATTAAATTTTTGTAAAAAAGCCGTGTCCTGTAAACACTTGTTGCTATTCTGATCTAAGGCTTATTTAATCTCATTAAGGCCTTGGTTAAAGGACTGATTATTGCTAAAAGCGCCTCCCTAGCTCATCTTCCAGATTTTTCCAAACCTGAGCGTGTTGATTAGTCGAGTGCTTACATATCTCAGTGAACGAACATTACCAGAAGGAATCGTTATGATCAGTTCCGGCCTTATGGCGACCAGAGCCGATCCTACCCTGGCCAGGTCGTCTGCTGTGTCGTTGCCCCTGACCCACCTATTGATCCACTGTATAGTCACATTGTTGTATTTACATACCTCATTTAGTTGTTGATGGCATTCATATATTAGCTCCGAGTGTACTACATTGCAATTAAGAGGCTGCAATACCGCTATGCTGTCGGTCAATATTCTGCTGGAGAAGTCCTTCCTCCATACATTCAGCCTGAAAAACTGTGTTGTGGGAACCCAGCGGTTTACATATGTGGTTGTTGATGTCTTTCGAGAGAGTTCCAGATCCTGCATATGTTTTATATGTTCATATGTTTTAGAGTCATCCATGAAGATTCTAAGTTCTTTTGGGTTTAATCCCTCCGGCTGGTTAGTTTCATTTAAATGTATCTTATATCTCTTATCAAATACAAATTGTTTGGGGATTTTGTCGTATTTTGCTTGTAGGATAGGAATTTAGGTGTAAATTCTATCAGTTATATCTGTATGATATAACTGATAGAATTTATGTGCCGTGTAGTGGCGGTTAAGAATATCCACTACCCCATATCTTCCCGTGGGTGTCGTAAAAGGCGACAGAGGGAGACATGCAGGAGATGGGCAGCAGCATCTTCCTGATAACAGCATTTGTATAACAAAAAAACTACGGTTGCCAACCCGCTAGCCAAGCGTGGCAACTATGGCAATATATCCCCCATGAACAATTAATTACACGAATAGACGGCCCCCAGTCCCCAGCGGCCCCGCTATTCCTGGCTACGGTGGCGACCATGGAAACGGCGGGGCAGGGGTGCTAAGAATCTCCGGTGGTGTTCGGTTGCCACCTACGACAACTCGACCTGGCAACATATAACGCACGCACCTTAAGGACAGACGAGAAGATCCTGATCCTGGTATATTTTAGAATTATCCGAGCGAAGAGAGGGGAAGGACACGGTGATTATCGAATCCGGCAACTTGCCACCACGAACAAAAAAAAAAAAAGGTCGACGAGGGTTGCGTACCTTATACTCAGAATCACCAAACGATATTCGCTGAAGGTCGTACAGGTTTACGCACCAACGTGGGCACATCCTGATGAGGAGGTGAAGGAAATGTATGAGGATATTTCTAGAGCCGTGCATTCCTCCAAACCCACTATACGATGTTAATGGGAAAATTCAACGCAAAGCCAGGCGCAAGAAAGAACGGTGAGCTGAAGGTTGGGAAATTTGGGATAAGGCAACGGAACCCAAGGGGCCAGCAGCTGGCTGACTTCATGAAGAAAGAGTGACTCTTTATGATGTTCTCGTTCCTCCAGAAGCGGCTCCACAGAAAGTGGATCTGGTCGAGCCCCGACGGTTCGACAAAAAATGAGATTGACTGCATTATGACGACTAGACGGCAACTGTTCAGTAATGTATCAGTGACGGGAAGGGTGAAAACTGGCAGCGATCACCGAATGGTGAGAGGCACACTGAAACTAAACGTTAAGTTGGAGAATTCTCGTCTGATTAAGTCAACCCTCCGTCTCCCTCGCGCTCTGATCCAAAGTCCCGAAACCTTTCGACTCGAGTTACAAAACCGTTTTCAGTGCCTAGAAGATTGCAATTCAGTGGACGATATGAATAACAAGCTCGTGGAAACTGCCCATGCGGTCGGAGCTAAGTTCTGCAAGACACGTCGCAGAAAAACACAATAACTCTCTGATCACACTCTTAATCTCATGGCCGTTATACGGGAGATGAAGCTGCAGTCGCCATCAGATTCGACAGCATACAGGCAACTGAACAGACAAATCTCCAAACACATGCGGCGGGACTTTAATACTGCTCGTATTGACGAAGCGGTCGAGCGGAACAGGGCTCTAAAGTCTTTGCCAGAGATCTGTCTGCCAGAAAGAGCCAACTATCAAGGCTGAAGACTGAGTGTAACAGCATCGTTTCCGGGACACCTGATATTTTCAGTGACATTGAGTGATTTTCGTTGGAGCCACACGCAAGTGTGAGTTACGATCCAAAAGCAAGTCATATTCGACACTATTCCGATGATATCCCGGACGTCAGTCTGAACGAGATTAGGATGGCTCGCCAGCACCTTAAAAACGGCAAGGCCCCAGGCGAGGATAGAATTACAGCAGAGCTTCTGAAGGCAGATGGAACACCGGTACTTAAAGTCCTTCAGAAGCTCTTCAATTCCGTCCTCCACGGTGGTGCTACTCCGTAAGCGTGGAGCAGGTCTTGTTAATCAAGAAAGGTGACAACGCTCTCTTGAAGAACTACAGACCGATATCCTTTCTGAGCCGCGTCTACGTGCTGTTTTCCATGTCATTACGAATCGTTTCGCACGCAGACTCGACGACTTCCAGCCCCCCGACCGAATCGGTTTCCGAAAGGGCTTCAGCACCATAGACCACATACATACCCTGCGGCAAATTGTACAGAAGACCGAAGAGTACAATCTGCCACTTTGCCTGGCGTAGGACAAAGCCATTCTCGATCTCAGTGGTCCAAAATTTTACAGAGTTACTATCCTAAAACAACCTATCCAACTCCAGAGAGTAAGACAGGGTGACGTTATATCCTCGAAACTTCACCGCTGCATTGGAAGACGTTTTCAAGCTACTGGACTGGAAAGGATACGGTATTATTATCAAGTGCGAATACATCACTCACTTTCGATTTGCCGACGATATAGTCCTTATGGCAGAATCGCTGGAGGACCTAAGCACTATGTTCAATGACTCCCAACGGTAATAGGGATAGGTTTTAGAATGAACAAGGACAAAACAAAGATCATGTTTAACGTCCATGTCACACCTATGCTGGTAGTTGTTGGGAGCATTAAGCTCGAAGTTGTTGACGAATACGTTTACCTGGGACAAATAGTCCGATCGGGAAATTACGAATCTTCTCGTCAGGTATACCTCAAAACCTGAAAACGAGACTGTACAACCAGTGCGTGTTGCCAGTGATGTAAGTCATACTGTACCATCAGACTCAAGATCCTAAAGCTTTTAAGTAAGAGTAGAGTCCCTCATACAGATATCATCGTTAACATTACAGCCCTTCACAAGTCCACTGCTGAACATAGGCCTCCCCCAAGGTATGCCAAAAAGCACGGTCCTGAGCCACCTGCATCCATCGACTTCCTGCATATCTTACCAGTTCTCACTCCATCTAGTGGGGGGTCGCCCTACACTTCGCCTACCGGTACGAGGCTGCCACTCTAGAACCTTTTTTCCCCAACGGACAACGGTTGGGCTATGTCGGTCACTCTGGTTCTACTGCGGATATCCTCATTTCTAAGTTTATCACGCAGAGAAACTCCGAGCATAGCCCTCTCCATGGCTCGCTGAGCGACTTTGAGCATCCTCATACGGCCAACAGTGTAGGACCACGTCTCGGTTCTGTAGGTAATCACTGGCAACACGCACTGGTTGTACAGCTTAGTTTTCAGGTTTTGAGGTATACCTGACGAGAAGATTTTATATATAATATATATATATATATATATATATATATATATATATATATATATATATATAAATTACGTGTCACGTTGTTTGACCGCGATGGACTCCTAAACTACTTAACCGATTTTAATCAAATTTGCACACTGTGTGCAATTTGGTCCAAATTTAGAGATAGGAGTTTTTTTGCCCATGAGTGATCCACAACTTTGCGAATTTATGGATTATTAATAGGACATGACAAAGGGTCGTCGAAAAGAGCAGAACAATGTCTGCTTGGCAAGCTAGTAAATATATATGCAGTAATATTTATTAGTAAAGATTGTTATTATTATTATTTACAGCAAAGATGCCGCCGGTTACAGAGAGACAGATAATTGCAACATCAGCAAGGGAAGTTGGCTTATGGCAAAAAACTTACCGTGATGAACTTGCATATTTAAATGTTATATCTGAGAAGCAGTTTATAAGACACGTAATGTATTTAATAAGTAAGTCGACTTTAACGATTTTAATTGATAAATTTTAATTTCTTTAAATTTTTATTGAACAAGCAACTTCAAAATTTTACAAATTATTACAAAAAAGAAACAATTTAGCTATATTATGGTTGTAGCCCGAATGGGTCGGCTCGACCGGGGAAAGACCACGCTCTCACAGAATACCAGCGTAAAATAGCAGCTTAATACTGCTATTTTACGCTGGTATTTTACAAAGGGTCTCCGGATCTCTACACCAGCGTAAAATAGCAGTATTAAGCTGCTATTTTACGCTGGTGTAGAGATCCGGAGACCCTTTTTAACTAGAAATAAGGCATTCCTTATTAGTCCTCAGGGGTGACAACGCATCTGCGTTTTGATTCTTAATCGAGGATAAATGTAGATGTCAACGGACCACAGCATCCACTTACCATCAGGTGGAATGTGTGCTCGTTATTCACTCTTATTCTATTAAAAAAATACGCTTGGTATGTCACCGTCATCATATTTCACATATCTAAGAGAGTATAACCTTCTCAGAAGAAGAGTCTAACCACCAATTCTAGTCTATAAGCAGCGGCATAATCTGAGTACAAAACCCGCACTGAAAATCGCTTGCCATCCATAGTGATAACGGCGGAACTCCTTTGCGAGGCTTGCAAAAATTATATGTTGGGGTCTCGCTGTGCATATAAACTCTGTTTTTTAAACTAATGCTATAGTACCGGTTATAATGGGATCATAAGTTTAACATTAATTATCATATCATTAACAGCTATTTTTCAAGGGCATAATATACTGGATGACCTTTCTTAGTTTCTGAAAAAAAATAGGGTAACATGTGAACGGAGTAGAAGCTTATGGCACTGATTTTTACAAATGTAAAAACTATTTTTTTAATTTTGTTAAATAAAATAATTAAAGTATATCGAAATTCAAATCATATTCACCCTACTTTACCAACGGCAATAAAACAATAAATTTAGTAGGCATCTTTGATCTTGCCACTTCGCAGGTTCACAGGCTAGGGTGGATATAATTTGAATTTCGATTCATTTTAATTTATTTATTTAATTTATTCAAATTTTTTGTTTTAATTTTTTGTAAAATATCAGTGCCATAGATAGGCTTCTACTCCGTTCATAAGTTACACCCTACTTCCAGACGATAAAATGGGTAATCCAGTATATATTTGTAATATCTATTTTGTTATTTTAACTACAGTTAAAATCCTTATCAGAAGATATACTCTTAAATTCAAATGAATCGTCCAAAACTCTCTGTTCTGTGATTTGAGACCATTTTTGACACACAAGTTCGAAGGACAGATATCAAATTTTGAGTCTATGTCTTTGACAGCAGAGCCTTAAAATGATAGAGATGACGTAATGTTTCTAGTTGGAGTCGAAACGAGCTCATTCCCATACAGCGAGGAGTCAAACTGTTTCTACATGAGGGAAAACCTGGTGCTGGAGGGCATATCAAAGGAGCACCTTAAAGGCTATGTGACGGATTTATTACTTGTTGGTACATTTTATAGGCGACTTAACAAATTCGCCTTTAATCAAACTGTTGAAGACCATTTTCAAAGCAAAGGTCTTGTTCATGAGGTAATATTTTTATCTTAATGAGTTTATAAAGTGTTCATTAAAATGTTACCCTGTTAATTACGTATGCACGTAGTCTCCTATTGGATGACTTTTCCTGCCATCTTGTTTCGAAAGCGAGAACTTAATTTATGTTTATGTGTCGGTACATAATGACTGCGTTTGGCAGAAAAAAGCGCTAGGAAGCGCTTGTAAGCAAAATGGCAAAACTAAACAGTTTTCGGCCAGGACATGTTTGCTAACTTAAGTAGCGCTGACACAATCCGCCATTTTGCTTATTTACTTTGTTTGTTTTGAAGTAGAGTTTAAAAGTTGTTTTGTGCAATATTACTTTCAAGTAATATAATGGCGCTAGCAAGCGCCTGTAAGCAAAAAGGCGATCATAAGCGGTAAGCGCTGTCAAATCGTAAGTAGCTATTTTCCTCTAGGACCTGAAGTTAGCTTTAACCGGGGAACCTAAATTAATTTAAATATATGTTTGTAAAGTATTCATATTAAAAACTTACCAATCATGAATTTTTAATAAAATGTAAATATGTTTATTCATGTCATTATATTACTTGAAACTAATATTGCACAAAACAACTTATAAACTCTACTTCAAAACAAACAAATTAAATAAGCAAATGGCAGGTTGTGTCAGCGCTACTGAAGTTAGCAAACGTGTCCTGGCCGAAAACTGTTTAGTTTCGCCATTTGGCTTACAAGCGCTTGCTAACGCTTTTTTCTGCCAAACGCAGCCAATGGTTGGGTAGTTGTTAGTGGTCACCAACATTAATCATTTTGGATTTGTTACTTTTTTATTGTCTCAAAGCTGGGCACATAATCTTTAATACACTATTAAAATCCATTTCCAACCATCCTTTTTGCGGTTAGGCATCAGCCAAAATTTCAATTAGCATTTAAGACCGATTTACACTTCGACAAGTACAGTAGCGAGCTAACTGCGAACCTGGCGAGGTAAGTAGAAAATGTCGTTTGAACGGCAATTAGTGAGTTAAGTAGCAAGTTAACAATTAAGTTGAACGGGATAGCTGACCGGTGTATTTTTCGGCGAGTTAAGTTCGAACTGTTGTTCTCCCGCTCGTCTCTCGCCACCCGCAACTAAACTCGCTCGTGTGAACGAGCGAGTTTAGTTCAGTTCAGTGCGTAAGTTGACAGGACTCCTGACCCTCAAAATATAAAATTATACTTTTTTAACTAAACTCGCTACGAAGATATTTGAACGCTACTGTCCACTTAACCGTTTACTGTCAACTGTAACTAAACTCGCTACTGTACTTGTCGAAGTGTAAATCAGCTCTTAAAAAAAAGCAATCTAGCGGGTTTTTTTTTACTTTTTTTTATAAAAGTCCTAACGACGACGCACTTGCACGACTGCGACGTTGCGCCTCAGTGTCTCCGCCCACACTGCCCTTAAGTTTTAAACAAAAGAATAGACAGAAAACGCCCGTAACGTCAGAAATAGATAAAAACATAAAACAGGAGTCATTCAGTTAGTTCAAGTTGTTTTCCTTTCTTTAATAATTAATTTTGAGCCCTTTTTCTAGGTCTAGAATATCTTGTTCTTAGGAAATTATTAAATACTTAGGAAACTTATGCCATATTAATAAATTTTATTAATAAATTCAGGCCGCAAGAGAAGTAATAAGGCGGTATCTTTTGGACTTCCGTTTACAAGCGACAGCAGTATACGAAGATTGCTGCAAGAATGTCTCGGAGGGGTTAAATTGTATGCCAACGCTATTGCAAATTTTGTTTCACATTGAACCTTTAAAGTATGAAATCGAAACGATCGCCTCTATTTACAAAATGATTGAATCGGGTAAGGTAGAAAAAAACTTATATTTATTTTAAGGTTTATAGATTAGTATTGTGAATTATAATAATACATATCTTTATTTAAAAAAAATTACGTGTCACATTCTTTGTCTGCGATGAACTCCTAAACTAATGAAATGATTTCAACGAAATTTTGTAAATGTGTATTGATTGCTCCAATCTGCGTGACAAGATAGTTTTTATTCCGATAAGGGACCCTCAATATTTTTTATTGCGAATTTAAGGATTTTTTATAGGGCATAGGATCATTGGATCAGACTCAATGACATCTGCCTGGCCAACTAGTACCATAATATTATATATTTGGAACACTGAATGCCTGTTGAAACAAAACCACTGGTTAAATAGACTAAATATTAGATATAATAGATAGTACATAAAAATCACTTTGTAATCCTTTAATTTGTTTATACTTATTAACATTTTTGACAAATGAAATGAAATGTGTTGATTTAAAGTGCTTTTTTTTTCAGATCCAAAAACTACATTACCGCACGGTGCGGAACTTATGTCATATTTGTTCAATGAAATATCGCTGGTGACACATAAAACAACGGCGTTGACCTTGTTTAACTGTCTGTTTTCCGTATGCAAAGTTTATTTCAAGTAAGTAATTTCATTGTCACATTCACCAACATTCTTTTTTTTTCATTTCATTCACCTTATGGAATCAAATTTTTGTAGGATATGCATACGTACTATGTTTTACTAATCTATATTCAATTATCAAACTTCTACTACGATTAAATGGGTGCGTTCGTGTTCGGGTGCTTGAAGTCTCGGTAGTTCTTGTAAAGCCTTTTATACACTTAATAGAGTCATTATACTTTTTTTAAGGCAATATATATTAAACTGTGTTTGTTACTTTATTTTATGTTACCGATACTTATTTAAGACAATGTAGTAATTGTGACAGCTTTTCCATTTGCTCTTTAGTAATAGTAGATACCACATCATAGAGAAATCTATTTATATATTTATTTACATGTTGATGTCGTAAATAATAAAAATAATGATAACGTTTGAGCGAAAGTTCAACTTGCTCTCTTGCTTATGCAATTAATTATTGTCAGCAATAAAACATCGTAACCAGGATTTCATGGCAGGGGAAGTTAATTTGTTAGGAAAAGTTTGTAAGGGCTAATCTTTCTTTTTGAAAAATTAGTTGTGTTTTATATTAGTTAGATTAGAAATATAAACCAAACTGCGGGTATTCCTAAAAGTAAAAAAAATGTGTAAAATATTAAAGAGAAAGCCAAGGAGGCATTGTTTTGTGTATTTACATACTTTGGAAACTCAATTACTCAATAATATTGTGTAACAAATAACTTCACTTCAGTTCCAACTGGCGACATCTGGTGAGCGGAAGATTACAATTAGATCGACCATACTGTAATATATTTTTATAGGATAGGGTGACAAACGAGCACATAGTCCACCTGATGGTAAGTGGTTGCTGCGGCCCATAGACATCTACATCTATCCTCGATTAAAATTTAAAATGCAGATGCGTTGTCATCCGTGAGGACTAGGATAGAATGCCTCGTTTCCAGTGAAAAGGGTCTCCGGTTCTGTACACTCACCATACGAAACACAGCAGCATTAAGCTACTATTTTACGCTGGTATTCTGTAAGAGCGTGGTCCTTCCCCGGTCGAGCCGACCCATTCGTGCTACAACTATACTACTAATATAACTGCAGCATGGCTCTACCACGTATAAAATATGTGCCGGTCGCAGTCGTGTCATGAGACGGACATCATTCCACGATGAAACCAAAATAGATTAAGCATGGGAAACCGTCAGTAACACTGCTTATCAGGATGTTACACTGGTTTTCGTCACATTTGATTACAGAAGTTGCTATTTAAATATCTTCACTTTAACACCTCACGACGACGGTGCCATCGTAAGTATGATAGTTACATACATAAACACTCACGCCTGTCACCCAGAGTGGTAGGCAGAGACTACAGACTTCCATTTAGCACGATCCTGACATACCTCTCTCGCCTCTTCCACATCCATATACCTACGCATACATGCTCGTCGGTTAAGGGTACTCTTAATTTGACCCATTTTTAGTATATCGCCAATTTGGTCGACAAACTTCCGCCTAGGACGTCCCTTTCCGACTCTTCCATTCACTTCTGCAACATATATTTGCTTTGTCAGTCTTTCCGCATTCATTCTTTCTACATGACCAAACCACCGAAGAGCCGTGGTAGCTCAGAGGGTTTGCGCTCGCTGTAAATTTCACAATACGCGAGCAAACCGGGTTCGGTCCCCGCCGGCACCAATGAAATTGTTAATTGCAATTTTAAGTGCTGATTTACCACGTGCTCGGCGGTGAAGGAAAACATCGTGAGGAAACCTGCATGTCTGAGAAATAAGAAAAAAAAATACTTCGAAGACATGTGAAGTTCGCCAACACGCATTAGGGCAGCGTGGCGGACTATTCCTTGCCCTAAAACCCTCTCAGAAATGAGAGGAGGCCTGTGCCCAGCAGTGGGACATATATAGGCTGTAACTTTACTACTTTACTTTAAACCACCGAAGCATTCCTTTCTTAATCCTGGTCACGGCATCATCTTTCAAATCACACTCTTCTTTTATCACACAGTTTCTCACCCTGTCACTCAGATTCAGCCCTAACATACTCCTTAGCGACTGCATTTCTACTGCATTTATTCTACTCTCTTGCTTCTTCTGCCACACCCAACTTTCACTACCATATGTTAAAGTAGGGACTAATACAGCATTGTGAATTGCCATACGTGCCTTTTTTGACACATTCTGACTTTTCACAATAGAGTGTAGAGCCCCATTTACTTTATTTCCTGCATTCACTCGTCGTTCAATATCCTTATCATATCTCCCATCCCTGCTGAATACACATCCCAAATATACGAACTCATCCACTTGCTCAATTAACTCTCCTATTCTTATTTCACATACCGTTTTGCTTTCATCTCTTTCAAAAACCATCACTTTCGTCTTACTTGCGTTCACTTTCATTCCCCTTTCTTTTAATGACCTGTTCATTAATGTAACCATCATTTGCAACTCGGCCGCCGACGACGCAAGTATGACTTGATCATCGGCGTACAAAAGGCATTTGATTTATGCTTCGGATTAAGAACTCACCCATTCTTAACCCGCATTCTTCAACTTTGAAATTTTCCAAACAACTGTCCATAAATAAATAGGTTGAACAACCACGGGGAAGCTACACAGCCCTGTCTGACACCTTTATGGATGCCAAACCAGTCCGAGTAGACCCCTTGATTCTAAAACAAGCACTCCAGTCCCTATACAGAGACTTTAATGCCTGTATTAAACCAGCGCTCAACCTAAATGCGTTCAGCGTTTGCCATAACACATCCCTGTCCACTCTGTCATAAGCCTTTTCCAAGTCCATGAACGCACAAAAGACTTTGGTTTTTCACCAAAAACTTCTCCGCGATTATGCGCATGGAAAAAACTTGATCTGTACACCCCATTCCCTTTCTAAATCCCGCTTGCACATCCCAATTTTTTTATCAGTTTCTTTCATAACTCTTTCAATTAGTACCTTAGCATACAGTTTTCCCACAATGCTAAGAAGGCTGATACCACGGTAGTTTTTACAGTCCTGCTGTGACCCTTTTCCCTTATATATTGGGACTATCACGGCTTTGCACCAGTCTCCCGGTACCCGCTTTAGTTCCCAACATAAATTAAACAAGGTGTACAGCAAGCCTGCCACCACGTCCTCTCCAGCCCTTAGCATTTCGAGTAAAACTCTATGGCTGCCTTACCTACTTTCATGCTTTTCATTGCTTTCATTATTTCATCTATACTTATCTCTCTATCTCTTTCATCTTCTTTCGGAATTTCTATTTCATTTAGTTCACACGTCTCCTCGCTCATAAATATTCCTTCCATCTCTTTAGACTCAACACTTCATCATTCAGAATAGAGCCATTCTCGTCTCGTATCGCATTCAATCTAGGCTGTTTTGAATGAAATTTTTTTACATTAAATGTTTTGAATTTTTTTATACATACATTCAAAACAGTATGATAGTTATTGTAGGTATTGCCAATAGTTTTACAATGTCAACAAATATTTCAGATTCATCGAGAGATTCATCTTCGAAGGTGAATTAGACGACAGACACAATGAGTTTTTTATTCGAAAAGACAATCAGTATGTGAATTCGCGAACTAAACGCTACTGGGATAAAGGTTTTCATATAACATTCAGTGTTGCCGTCCCGGAGTTTCTTCGACCTCTGGCCAAGTTTATTTTATTATGTGGAAAATCATTGAGATTGCTTAAACTGTGCAATCCTAGTGTAAGTATAGACATATATATTATAAGTGTATATATATATATATATATATATATATATATATATTATACGTATACGAATGCATATAAAATAAAAATAGTTTACATACTTTTTTACAGCCGTGTAGTGGCGGTTAAGAATATCCACTACCCCATATCTTCCCGTGGGTGTCGTAAGAGGCGACAGAGGGAGACAGGCAGGAGATGGGCAGCAGCATCTTCCTGATAACAGCAACTGTACGACAAAAAAAACTGCGGTTGCCAACCCGCTCGCCAAGCGTGGCAACTATGGCAATATACCCCCCATGAACAATTACACAAATAGACGGCCCCCAGTTCCCCGGCGGCCCCGCTATTCCTGGCTACGGTGGCGACCATGGTAACGGCGGGGCAGGGGGTGCTAAGAATCTCCGGTGGAGGTTCGGTTGCCACCTACGACGACTCGACCTGGCAACATTTAACGCACGCACACTGAGGACTGACGAGAAGATCCTGGAGCTGGAAGAAGAGATAGACAAGTTGCGCTGGAGTATTATAGGATTATCCGAGGTCCGAAGAGAGGGGGAGGACACGGTGATTCTCGAATCCGGCAACTTGTTCTATCACCGGGAGGGCGACCATCTGTCCCAAGGAGGTGTCGGATTTATCGTCCACAAGTCTCTCGTCAACAACGTTGTACAGATTGAGAGTGTGTCGACGAGGGTCGCGTACCTGATACTCAGAATCACCAAACGGTATTCGCTGAAGGTCATACAGGTTTACGCACCAACGTCGGCACATTCCGATGAGGAGGTGGAGGAAATGTATGAGGATATTTCCAAAGCCATACATTCCTCCAAAACCCACTACACGGTGTTGATGGGAGACTTCAACGCAAAACTAGGCACAAGAGAAAGCGGTGAGCTGAAGTTAGGGAAATTTGGAGTAGGGCAACGGAACCGAAGGGGCCAGCAGCTGGCCGACTTTATGGAGAAAGAGGGACTCTTTATGATGAACTCTTTCTTCCAGAAGCGGCCCCACAGGAAGTGGACCTGGTCGAGCCCCGACGGTTCGACAAAAAATGAGATTGACTTCATTATGACGACCAGACGCCAACTGTTCAGTGATGTCTCAGTGATCGCAAGGGTGAAAACTGGCAGCGATCACCGAATGGTTAGAGGCACACTGAACCTAAACGTTAAGTTGGAGAGGTCTCGTCTAATGAAGTCAACGCTCCGTCCCCCTCGTGCTCTGATCCAAAATCCCGAAAACTTTCAGCTCGAGTTACACAACCGCTTTCAGTGCCTACAAGATTGCAATGCAGTGGACGATATGAATGACAAGCTCGTGGAAACTGTCCATGCGGTCGGAGCTAAGTTCTGCAAGACCCGCCGCAGAAGAACACAAAAACTCTCCGATCACACTCTTAATCTCATGGCTGTTAGACGGGAGATGAGGCTACAATCGTCAACAGATTTGACAGCATACAGGCAACTGAACAGACAGATCTCCAAATGCATGCGGCGAGACTTACGCAACTTTAATACTGCTCGTATTAAAGAAGCGATCGAGCGGAACCAGGGCTCCAAAGTCTTTGCCAGAGATCTGTCTGCCAGAAAGAGCCAACTGTCAAGGCTGAAGACTGAGTGTGGCAGCATCGTTTCCGGGACACCTGAGATTTTGAGTGAGATTGAGAGGTTCTATGGGCAGCTGTACACATCATCGTTGGAGCCACACGCAAGTGTGAGTAACGATCCAAGAGCAAGTCTTATCCGACACTATTCCGATGATATCCCGGACGTCAGTCTAAGCGAGATTAGAATGGCTCTCCAGCACCTTAAAAACGGCAGGGCCCCAGGCGAGGATGGAATTACAGCGGAGCTTCTGAAAGCGGGTGGAACACCGGTACTTGAAGTCCTTCAGAAGCTCTTCAATTCCGTCCTCCATGGTGGCACTACTCCAGAGGCGTGGAGCAGAAGTGCGGTGGTCTTGTTCTTTAAGAAAGGCGACAACGCTCTCTTGAAGAACTACAGACCGATTTCCCTTCTGAGCCGCGTCTACGTGCTGTTTTCGAGAGTCATTACGAATCGTCTCGCACGCAGACTCGACGACTTCCAGCCTCCCGAACAAGCCGGTTTCCGAAAAGGCTTCAGTACCATAGACCACATACATACCCTGCGGCAGATTGTACAGAAGACTGAAGAGTACAATTTGCCACTTTGCCTGGCGTATGTGGACTGTGAGAAAGCCTTTGATTCCGTCGAAATTTGGGCGGTGCTGCAGTCCCTTCAGCGGTGCCAAGTTGACTGTCGGTATATTGAAGTGCTGAAGTGTTTGTACAGTAGGGCTACGATGGCTATCCGAGTACAGAACCAGAGCTCGAAACCTATCCAACTGCAGAGAGGTGTAAGACAGGGTGACGTTATATCCCCGAAACTCTTCACCGCTGCTTTGGAAGACGTTTTCAAGCTACTGGACTGGAAAGGATACGGTATTAACATCAATGGCGAGTACATCACTCACCTTCGATTTGCCGACGATATAGTCCTTATGGCAGAATCGCTGGAGGACTTAAGCACTATGCTCAATGACCTCAATAGTGCCTCCCAACGGATAGGTCTTAAGATGAACATGGACAAAACAAAGATTATGTTTAATGTCCATGTCACACCTATGCCGGTAGTTGTTGGGAGCACTATGCTCGAAGTTGTTGACGAGTACGTTTACCTGGGACAAATAGTCCGACTAGGTAAGTCCAACTTCGACCGAGAGGTCAATCGACGGATTCAACTCGGCTGGGCAGCGTTCGGGAAATTACGACATATCTTCTCGTCAGGTATACCTCAATCTCTGAAAACTAAAGTGTACAACCAGTGCGTGTTGCCAGTGATGACTTACGGATCAGAGACGTGGTCCTTCACTGCTGGCCGTATGAGGACGCTCAAGGTCGCTCAGCGAGCTATGGAGAGGGCTATGCTCGGAGTTTCACTGCGTGATAGACTCAGAAATGAGGATATCCGCAGTAAAACCAGATTGACCGACATAGCCCAACGGATTAGTAAGCTGAAGTGGCAATGGGCCGGCCATATAGCTCGAAGAACCGATAACCGATGGGGAAGAAAGGTTCTCGAGTGGCAGCCTCGTACCGGTAGGCGTAGTGTAGGGCGACCCCCCACTAGATGGAGTGACGACCTGGTAAGATATGCAGGAAGTCGATGGATGCAGGTGGCTCAGGACCGTGCTTTGTGGCATTACTTGGGGGAGGCCTATGTTCAGCAGTGGACTTGTGAAGGGCTGTGATGATGATGATGATGATTACATAATTAATTATACTCTGTAAAAAGTAGGTAAAAAGAGCAAAAGAGAAGACTTTAATGTAATAATTTAATGATTTCTTATATTTACGCGAACACTACACATTGATTAAAACTACTTTTACGGATTTTATTGCGTTTAATTTTACTTTTAATTATTTTTATTTTTAATTCCCGACGTTTCGGGTGCTTTCCAGCACCCATGGTCACGGGGGACTGAGGTGACTGACGTCCCTATGTCATTGTTAAACCCGGAGTACCTTCAGCTTTTTTAATTATTGTTTATGGTCCGATCTATGCAAAATGAACTATGTCCTGAGGTCTTGCAGTGGTATGCTTGAGTTTAGTTTTAATTTTATTGATTATGGGGTCCCAAGCAGATGGTAGTACCCAGCCTCCTTCTCTATTGGAATTAGGATGTTTTTTAATTTCAATAGCCTCACGTATCATCCTTGGTAAGAATCGGTGTTCTTTCGCGAGGATTTGTGGTCTATCAAATTTGATGAAATGGTTGGGGCCGTCTAGGATATGATTACAAACTGCAGACTTCCCGAAACGTTGATGCTTCACATCAGCTATATGTTCTTTTACGCGGGTTCTAATTGATCTTTTTGTTTGTCCTAAATAAGAGAGACCACATTCACTATCAAGCTTGTAAACTCCTGCATCTTGTAGAGGAATATGACACTTGACGGATGGTAGGAACTGACTAATCTTCTTCGGCGGCTTGTAGAATGTTCTAATAGAAGCTCGCTTCAAGATGTAGCCAATCTTGTCTGTGACACCTCCCTATTTTTGCTGTCACAGTTCCCTCGTGCTCTCTGTAACAAAGATTTGCCCACGGTAGCTGTGAAGGATGGTGGTGAGATTCACCGTTTAAATATCGGTTTGTATGGGTCTTTTTTTCTATACACAGTGTGACCTATTGTGTTGTTAGGATTTCGGATGACTAACACCCCTATGAAAGGTAAGGAATTATTTGCCTCTAACTCCATAGTAAATTGAATTTTAGAGTTTATGGAACATCTTAATTCCAATCAGATTTAACAGACCACAAATCCTCGCGAAAGAACACCGATTCCTACCAAGGATGATACGTGAGGCTATTGAAATTAAAAAAAACTCCAAAAAAAATAAAAAAAAACTTTCAACTCCGCTAAAAAAAAACCCCATAAAAAAAACATCTTTAAAAAAATTTTTATTATAATGGATTTCCGCAAAGTAACGCCTGATTCTATCAATTATCTTAAAAACATCCTAATTTCAATAGAGAAGGAGACTGGGTACTACCACCTGCTTGGGACCCAATCTATAAAATTATAATCAATAAAATTAAAACTAAACCCAAGTATACCACTGCAAGACCTCAAGACATAGTTCATTTTGCATAGATCGGACCATAAACAATAATTCAAAAAGCTGAAGGTACTCCGGGTTTAACAATGACATTGGGACGTCAGTCACCTCAGTCCCCCGTGACCATGGGTGCTGGAAAGCACCCGAAACGTCGGGAATTAAAAATAAAAATAATTAAAAGTAAAATTAAACGCGATATAACCTTAAAAGTAGTTTTAATCAAAAAGAAGACTTATTCTTTTAAATATGAACAGTCAAGGTCATTACACAAAAAAAGGAAAAAATTCAGTGAGAAAAAGTTATCTATATATTAAATATGTGAAGGAAAATCTTTGTATCCCTTTTTAATAATATCGTTAGGCACGGAGTAGTGTGCGATTAATATAGTTAAAGTTTATATGGAGAAAGAGTGCAGAAAGCTACAATTTATATAACATAATATGTGTTAAATATTTGTACTTATTTAATTTTTTACGTTAATACTGTTAATGTCAATTGAAGAACATTTATGTTTTTATATATACATATAAACATAATGTATGTAAGTAAATGATATTCAGCCGTAGCGTTTGTTACAACATTTAATAAACTGGCTGGCTAATGCTTAGGCCATTCGTACGATATGGTGAAACAGCGCCGTTCAACTAGCGGCCTGCTCACGGCCGATCATGTAAGAATAGTGTGTTGCTCAAACAAAAACAAATAATACGTCTACTACTTAAAGATAATTTTTAATTAAGTAATTAATAAAGGACAAAGAGATATAAAAGGATTTTAAAATTAAATGTCAGATTTTGTATGCTTTAGGTTAAGAGTAGTAGGACTCCCGAACGAAAATCCGGAGTCCTCTACACCCTATACAATTGCAAGAACAAGGAAATAAAAAACTAGAATTAAAAGTCCTTGTCGAGCTGACAATGTCTCTGACCCCCTATGTCAGAGGAAAACAGCAACACATACAAAAAAAAAACTAGCGGCCTGAGTGATAATCAGCCAATGCGTTTCAGCCAATGCGTCTAATACAACATTTCATGCCTAATTATGCACTTTGCGCTATATTATATAAATATACGCGGCTTTAGCCGCACACTAACCTACTGTCGCTGATATTATAAGATAGTTGCAATGTTGTATTAGACGCAGCGGTTGAATATCATTCAGGTCCCTAGTTAAACATAAAAAGGCTAAGCTGTTGATTGAACGCCTAGTTAAGCTAGTTGGCTGCGACAGCTTGTACTGTTTTTCATTAAACTTTGGAAAACACCATCTTATTTGTTGTTTGCCGACGCGACGCCATATTGACCATATTTAATACACTATATTGACAGTTTGGAGATGTGGCAGAAAGTGGAACTAAATTGAAATTAACAGTCTACGCGCCAAATCGATTGAGAAAAACGGACATTGACCTTTCGGTTGCTTAACCAGGGGCTACAAACCGTTAATATATAGACACTTTTTATATGTAGTACTTTCTTTATTTATAATGATTTTTTTATTATTATTTTTATAATGATTGATATAATATATATTTAGTAACTATTATTAAAAAGTTATGTAAAAGATCGCTGTAGAAGAAAAATCATCTATTTTTATAAAGTACTTTATTAATTTAACAACAAAAAGCATTAATTTATAACACATATAAAGATTCGAGTGATAACGACACCGAATAAGTACGTACTTATTCAAAAGATAAAACTTTATTTTCAATATTATATAAGAACGTTATTTTCATTCGGTGCATGCGGACCGGCTCAAAAAAGTGACGCATCTCTGGCTTCCATTGTCACGTTTCTTTTAGAACTAACTGACGTAACGCGCGTTTTGTTTATTTTAAAGGGATGAATTTGCAAAAGCTCAATATGGTGATTGTATTGCTTCAAATTTTTTTTTAATATGAAACTGTTATTAAATGAATTGCTGCGTTACTTACCATAAATTGAAATATAAAATATAACACATTTTTTGCGATGTACCATAAGATTTTACGATGTTTATACGAACCACAGACAATATTATTTAAGAAACAATAAAACAAAACATATGTGCTGACTTAGAAGTGTGAATAATATCAATATTTAAATATTGTTATCACATCTAAATTGAGATTTTGTAAGTTACGCCTTTCGACACTCGGCTCATATCTGAGGTCATCGTCCGTTTTTCTCAATTGATTTGGCACGAACTATTGTAAGAAACGTCATCGATCCAAGTCATTTGCCTAGCTTTTTGATCAAATGGCTGAGTATCATTCAGGCCGCTAGTTGAACGGCGCTGTTTAATAAAGAGGTTTGGCTGTTGATTGAACGGCTATTTAAACTAGTTGGCTACGACATATATTTTGAAGAAGGCTGGGCAAAAATTTTGTTCAAAGGTTTAACAGAGTTTAGAAAAAGAAATATGACTAAAGGTAGCGAAATTTGGAAGACTATGCAAAAAATAATTTTAAACCGTAACGGTTTATAAAATCATTATTACTACTCTGGTATCACCTTGTATAGAGCCGTGGTAGCTCAGATGGTTAACGATCGCTGTAAATATAACAGAACGCGAGTAACCCGGGTTCGATTCCCGCCGGAACCAATTAAATTGTTAAATGCAATTTTAAGTGCTGATTTACCACGTGCTCGGCGGTGAAGCAAAGCATCGTGAGGAAACGTGCATGTCTAAGGAATAAGAAAAAAATGTTTGGAAGAAGAAATGGGGCACCGCGGCGGATACTTTTGCCCTAAAACCCTCTCAGAAATGAGGGAGGCCTGTGCCCAGCAGTGGGACGGTATATAGGCTGTAACTATCACCTTGTATACAAATGTATACATCGAACATTCTTCAAGACATTTATTCCCTTGTGCAGTGATAACCAATGTTTATATATTAAAATTTGGAATAGTCTTCACTCAAGGATTTTGCTTTACAGTAATATAGATGCCTAGATTATTCCAATATATTATAATATATTTATATACCAATATAATATATTTATATACCATTCCAAAGCACAAATATTCTAACGCTTACTCAATGACCATAAATATTTTGTTTTGTTCTAATGATCAATGAGATTTGATTATGTTTTTGTAGCTATAGAAGATCGAACCCAAGACATGCAAATTAAAATGTGAAACTATACTCCACTATTGTGATAGTAAAATACTATATTTTATAGATTTCGTATCTTTTCAGGACCCGTTAGTTCTTTTAATATCATCCGACCACCCCTCTGTTAAATGTTGTGCAAGTTTCGAGGACTTGGAGCGTCAACAGCAAGTTCTAGATGTGTATAGAACAAGATGTCTTTTTGTCAGCGGGGAACCAGTGACATTTGATCAAATTTTGTTAAAGAAGGAGGCAGAAAGGAAGGCGTTTACTGAAATGGCGTCTTTGAAGCAAGCCGAGACTATGGAGAAGATAATTGGTATGTTAAGTGTAAGAAATAGTCTTAAAAATAAATTTTTATTTTAATATTAATTGAAATTTGAATTATTGACGTAAAATTTAATCTAACATAAACTACATTCAGAAATAAACGTAAACGAAATATATCTGTCAGTGATTTTGGAATTAATGTTATTACAATGATTTTTTTTTAAAGTACAGCAATGAAATATGTTTATGTTTTTAGCGGAAAGGAAACGTTTAGCACAATTGATAATAGCTGAAAAACAACATTCCTTGCGAGTACTCGAAGCTGCAATGGCAGAGGCCAAAGCAGCAAAAAACAAAGCAAAACAACGTGAAAGAAGGAGATATGAATTAGAAGAAGCTTTACAGAAAACAACGGAAGAAACAGACTCAAAGTTGAAAGATGATGAAAGGTAAGTGATAACATAATAAAGACAAATATTTCTTTTTTTATTTTATTATAATTTTAATGTTATTCTTACGATTATTAACATACTGATTTTGTAGCTGTGAAAGTATTTTAACTATGGAAATTGACAAAAATATTTCTCGAGATATTTAATTGTTTCATTATTTTATTTTTTTATATTTTTCCTATTAAATTTAATCAAACATAGATATATTTTATGATTGACTTGACTTACTGTTAAATACAATTATTTACTAGGTACATCAAATATTAAACGCTGAGTAAAAAGAATGAAAGAGAGAATGTTAATTACATAGAATACTACAATACATACATAATAGAACGAAATAGAATGGGGAAGTGGGCGGCGCCTGTGTAGCCACTAAAATGTCACTAACCTGTCAATTCACACGTATAACTGTCAACACGAGATTTGTTTTGACGTTACAATCGTTTCCAAATTTCGCATGCAAATTATTTAGAAAATGCCAAATTGCACGCTATTTACAAATAAATATGTATTAAAATTTAAACGGTTTTTTAATGATGATCTTGAACATTAATCAAAAGTCTGAAATGTTTAAATTTACTCAGTCTGTCACACAGCGAATCGGGTTTGTAGTAGTGATAATACAACGTAATTGCTTGTATGTGTGCTCCCGGAGACGCCGACCCTCGGACCAAAGATTACTGTGCCTCGTACAAAATAAGGTTGACAGCCATTCTATTGTGTATTATAGTATTCTATGGTTAATTGGTACCCTGTGTTCAAATTTAAATATGTTTAATTTGTAAACAAGACATTAAGATTACTTAACTACAAAATTAAATTTTTTGTAGAATAAGGGTGATAAATGATCACATAGTCCTCCTGATAGTATAGCTGACATAGCCTCAGACAATAATTCTTAAATTAGTGATTTACTTTTATTTAAATAGCTTCCCTTTAAATCAAAGACAATTTATTAACTCATTCATTAACTCTTGACTTTCAGAATTAAAATAATGGAATATTATTCTAAATTAAATATGGAAGTGGAAAAGAGCAAAATACATACAGAATGGAAAATAAAAAGGCTGCAGTTGGACCAAAGCAGAATACAGTTACTATCAACAGAGGAGAGAAATTTAAAAAGGGAAAAGTTGGAACTCGAACATAAACGTAGTGGTGAAAGCATGGAAATGTCCGTCGAAAGTCTAGATTTAAAACCAGAAGATAATTGTTATAACGATAGTGAAAACATTGATGATAATCAAACTAACACAGGGAAAAGATCAGATTCACATAACTTGAATGATAGTGGAGATAGTTCACGCAACACCGAAGACGATTTAAAGCTAGATAAAGTGCAGAAAGGAACCGATGTATTCCATGCTTTATATAATGTAGCTAAAAGTATTTTTGGTGTTTCAAAACCGAAAGAAGATATTGACTGTGATAATAAAAAGGAATTAGATTCACAAGGAAACATTCTAAATGTTGACCAAGAAAATAATCGTGAAAGAAGAGATTTTACGACTTCCAGCAATATTATTGGCAAAAAGTTAGATGTTGCATTTGATAATCAAACATACTTACAAATGAGAGAACAAGCTATAAGAAACAAGCACAGAGTAATGGCACATGAATTCGGACAAGCGGACGAGCAAAACAATCAATTAAAAGATCATATCCCTGTTGTTAACATATCTTCAGTTGACAAAGAAAATAATGTTCAAGAATTACCGTCATTTTCAGAAGCGAAAAGGAACAAATTGAAAGTTCTTGGAAGTGAATTTGGAATTGTTAATCCAGAAATTAGAGAGCGAACTGAACCAATAACAGACGCGCAAAAAGAGGCTTTAATAAATAAGCAAAAAGTTCTTGGCGTTGAATACAACCTCCCTGCAGAAAAAATAGTCAGAAATGAACCTGCTAATGTCGCTCAAGAAGAGGCTTTGCGTAATAAAAATAAGATATTAAATTCAGAATATAACACACAACTTGCAAACCTTAGTCCGAGGCATGAAGCGAGTAAGAAAGCAGGGTTGAGGTTAAACTTGAAGCCATTTGTTGAAACCACAAACACTAATAATCTTGGGCCTAACACAGGGTCGATCACGCCAGGAGAATTTTTCCCAAGAGTAAGTACTTAAAAGTTTTTCTTACTATCTACATTTTTCATTATTAATTTGGGTAAAATGAATATCATATGATACTGAATGTCAGCTTTTTAAGTAAGAACTATGCTGATGCTTTTGTTTCTCAAGGTTACTAAGTATATGTCCTATCTTCTTTTTTGGGGTTAAAAATGAGAACCGCAGTTCTGTTTCACCTGTCTCAGGGTTCGCGACGTGCAAGGCCAGTATAAAAATAGACAATGGTAATTATAGACAACAGACAATTCTTTACTGTCACACAGAACACGGAGGGAATACAGCGGTAATAATAAAATACATAAAGCACTTATACTTACCGTTATCGTTACAGCTTACTGGACTCCACTGGTGAACATAGGCCTCCCCCATATATTGATTCATAGGGGGGATATTTCCATAGATGCCACGCTTGGCAAACGCATTGGCAACCGAAGTTTTTTTTTAGTCGTTATCAGAAAGACGCCCTCTGTTGACTCTTACGACACCCATCGGGTAGTGGATATTCTTACACGATAAACTGCCACTACACGGTAACTTTATACGAGTATAACTACTACAACTACTTTTGCGTTCGATATTAGTAGTGTAAATGTAATTGCACTACGGTGTCGGAAATTCCTGACGATTATAATGATGAACAGAGCGAAACAAACCAGGAGTATGGCACCGGAGTCTTCCTAAATAACAACTAAAAAAAATGTGATTACGAACCAGTCTGAAAATTGTGGCAACTGTGGCAAATATCTCCCCTATGATTATGGAAGATGGATGATGAAAGAGGCCCATATTCTTTAGTGAATTTAAATAGGCTGTAACGGCAACGATGATTATGATGGTGATGATGATGATTTGTTCATGACCTCGTCAAATCACGTGTAGGGAATTTTCGAGTTATCTAACTGCCGACCAAGCAGAGTCACTGTCTGCTTAACTCGTGACATTTGATTTTCTGGTGGCAAGCGGGTATGTACGCGGTGTGAGCGTGCCCCCCTGCAGTTACGAAGCGTCTCTTCTGTAGTCCTAATTGTGTTTGCAACAACAACAATAACATCCATGCCGATTTCGGCTTCGGTGTTACGCTCTGATGTGGCAAATGTAGCCAATTATCGCACTGAGTTATGGTGTTTTTAAATTTTTATGTTTTAACATTAGATATGTGTAGTGCCTGCGACGTTCTAGGTCGGCGACATCGAGTGGAATTGGGGTTCGATAAGTACGTTACGGGGTCTACAGAGATCAAGCGCGGGGGAATGTTTGGCGTTAGAATATAGTTTGTTGCGTTTGCTGCTAGCAGGTTAATAGGGTGGGCTTCGGCTCTATTGAAGTATAACTTCTAGAAGTAAAAGTAGGTTGTAGGGAGTTCATTGAGATACATAGAGAACAGATAACAGGACACAAGACATTCCATCAGCTCAATCCCGGGACGAAAATCATGTACAGTACCCGGCCGTATACATTACACATCGAGCATTAGAAAGAGAAAATCGGCTTTGTATAGAATAGTCTGTGTTGCACGCAGTCTAGTCTAATCCGGTGCCCAATGCAGCAGTTAAATAATCACGTTATTTATGATAGAAAAATTCTGTTATAAAATACACGTTTCACAGACAACACTCTACAAAGCCGCGAAAGTTAACCGATTATTATTTCTACTCTATTCTGTTCTGTGGTCAATAAACTTAGACGTGACATATAACCATTTTAATAGAGGTGCGGATGATGAAATGAGCACACAGCCCACTTGATTTTAAATGGATGCTGTGGTCCACAGACACGTCTATGCTTCGTTAAGAAACAGAATGCAGATGAGTTGTCATCGCGTAGGAATGAGAAGGAATACATCGTTAACACTTTTCAAAATTGGATGAATTACTAACAACGCTAGGTTTCAATACTTTTTTTTTATAGGATAGGGTGACAAACGAGCACACAGTCCACCTGATGGTAATTGATTGCTGTGGCCCATAGACATCTACATCTATCCTCGATTACGAATCAAAATGCAGATGCGTTGTCACTCGTGAGGACTTAGGTGGAATGCCTCGTTTCCAGTTAAAAAAATCTCTACTCCGGTCTCCGGTTCTCTACACTCACCATACGAAACACAGCAGCATTAAGCTACTATTTCACGCTGGTATTCTGTGAGGGCGTGGTCCTTCCCCGGTCGAGCCGATCCATTCGTGCTACAACTATACTACTAATATAACTGCAGCATGGCTCTACCACGTAAATACTGCTAAGTTTTAGGTATAAAAAGCGTTTTAAAAAAATATGTACATTCATTGTATGTTTTTTTTTTTAAATATGTACATTCATTGTATGTTTTTTTTAAATATGTACATTCATTGTATGTTTTTTTTAAAAATATGTACATTCATTGTATGTTTTTTTTTTAAATATGTACATTCATTGTATGTTTTTTAGCTTGACCTTGAAACACCAACCACTGCGGATATACCGTTAGACGGTGGAATGACGAATGATATTTTTACACCTCGAAGTGACGGTAAAGATTTAGAAACTGGAAAGGTTAAATCTGATAAAGATTACCTAACTTCGGATGGATTCGATTTTTCAATAATAGTCGATGAGGAGACTGGTGCATCGGAGGCTATAAGTGATGTGCGTATTGAAGATAGCCCCAATAACTCCCCAACAAAAACTAGAGAATTGTCTCAAATAGAAGACTTAACTAACAAATACTCGTTTTTCAATCTGATCGATGGGTCGTACAATTTTGAAAACTTTGATCCATTCGGAGTTAAGCAGCTACAAAATTATTCAAAAGATTACTTCACAGATAAAATTAATTACGACATGAAGACTTCGTTTTACACTCATCCGGCCGTCATTATGGAGGAAGTGAAGAAAAAACCGTATAACAATATATTCGTTTCGAATTATATTACGGATGAGGATGCGGAATCAAAGATAGCTGGTAATAATATAGCAACACTGACGGCCTGTTTACAAAGATCCGTAATGTTACCACTAACCTATCAGCTGGAAGTTGTAAATAATGCCATTCTCACTCACTTTCTTGTTAATTTGGATATGTATGAACATTTGAGGAGTTTGAAGGATTATTTCTTTTTGATGGATGGAGAATTTTCAAGAAGTATTTGCCATAATCTGTTTACAAAATTAACCAAAACCTTAAATCCTCAAGAGTTGCTAAATTTTGCAACGCTACATAATATACTCGACAAAGCTTTGGGATCTTCTATATCACGTAAGAATTTTGACATAATAATATTAGCATAGATTTCTTCTTTTTTTTTTGTAGTTGCCGCATGATGGTGGCGTAAAAGAAGAAACTACCTCATCTTATCGCGTGTATGTTGTAAAAGACGACTTAGGGAAATACACCGAAGATATTTTGGCCTCCTTCTTTCGTAAATTAAAAGTTGTTTGAATACAATCCCATATGATGTTAACACTTATACTGCCGTCAGTCATGTTTTGAATGGAATACTCCGTACAAAGTACGACTGTGTGACTGACATGGCAGCTAACGGATTAAGGGGTGAATTTTGGGTAATACATCGCATTTGGTCAGAAAAAGCATATTCATTATTCTCTTCAAACCCTCACGAATGAATCAGGCTACAAAACTGATGCCAGCAATTCATTCCAATATTTTGTTATACTTTTTAAATACTCATACTGGCAGATTAAGATAGGATTTACGTTAACTACTTATTTTATAGAGGATTTGCTTTACTTAACCTTACGATTGAGTAGACACTATCGGTAATAATCTTTGTCTACTTTAAGTAGTGTACTGTATTAAAAATTATTAAGTTAGTGCTAAAAAGATATTCAATTAACGCATTACCTCGTTCATTGGGTTTTTCCAATCGCCAGATGAATGGGATGTTGCGCGTTGGAATCCATCCCGATCACATTCTCTAGTCCAGTTCTCTCGCAGAAATTTACTAGCCTTACGAGGTCATGAGGGGGAGGTGTGTCTTCCTCCGGGATGTAGACTGAGGCGACGACTATTCTTCCCTCCTGTGTGTTTTATAATGCTACGGCATGCATGTCTCTGGAACAAAAATCTGTCAATGGTTGTGCACACATTTGTTGTTAAGGATAATTTAGATTTATATTTTTTTATAGTATAGGGTGATAAACGGGCACACAGTCTACCTGATGGTAAGTAGATGATGTTGCCCATAGACATCTACATTTATTCTCGATTAAGTATCAAAATGCAGAATTTCGAACCTCAAAGATGTCTCAGCAGGCATTTGCTAAGACAAAAATAAAAATGAACTTATAAAATATTTGTTTAACATGATTAAAACAGGAATACCTAATAAATATTAAATTATAATAGTAATCATTTAAATTTTGTTCATTTTATATCATACATTTAAATTTTGATTAAATGTAATCTTTATGATTTCTTATATCGAGCCTGTTAATGGTTTTCTTTATGAGATTATAGTATAGGATGACAAACGGGCACACAATCCACCTGATAGTAAGTAGATCCTGTGACCCAAAGACATCTACATTTATCCTCGATTAATAATTAAAATGCAGATACGTTTGTCACCCCTGACGACTACGATGGATTGTCTCGTTTCCTGTAAAAAGGGTATCAAGTTCTCTACACTTACCATATGAAACACAGTGGCATTAACCTGCTATTTTACACTGGTATTCTGTGAGAGTGAGAGCGTGATGCTACCCCAGTCGAGCCGACCCATTCATGCTGCAATCACAATATATCTTCAGCGTGGTTCTATCACGTAAAAATCTAAAACATACGAATGTTTCTTTATTATTGATTATGTTATATTATAGTAGTATAACATCAGACAGTAAATCTTTTTCAGATGTGCACAAGTTCTCCGAGAATCTTTCGTTCACAATCGCCGAATCTCCCTTAAGTTTCCAGCATAGTTCGCCGGATGTTTTACAGTGTCTCTCTCTCACTTACACTGTGAATTGGCCTCTAAATATTATTATGTCGCAAGAAGCTTTGCTACGCTACGCCAAAGTGTTCCAGTTCCTTATCAAAATGCGACGGGTTTTTTGGGTGCTCAGTGAGGATTTTGAGGTACGATATAAATTTAGTAAAATTTGTAATATTTTAATGGATGTATATTCTAACCTTTTTGATTTCTGAAAATAATAATGATTATAGAGTAAAATCACGAGTTAAAATAATGTAAGTGAATGTTGTGGTACATAGATCTATTCTCGGTTAAGGATTAAAATGTGTGTTTGTCACCCCTTAGAACTTCTTAGTCCTTGACCTTGTTAATGGTTTTCTTTTTCTTTCTTTAAAGAATATTAACAATGCTATATACATTACTAATATTTCCCTTAACTACTCGTGGTAAGCTTAAATTGCTTGTGTTACGAGTGGTTCACGCCAGTAGTCGAATGGCGGATTCGAACCCACGACCTTTTTGAGTTTGCGGTCCGCGCCCTGCCATTAGGCTACTGTCGCTGGTAAAAGAAATATGTCGTTCTCGTTGCTTATCATACTGAACCAAGGGCGTCTCTAAGGCGGGGTGGGGGGGGGGGGATAGGCAGCTGCCCTCCACCCCTAGAATCTTATTTATTATGTCGCGAAGAGCTCGTGGTGCATTAAGCGTTAGAATTTGTACTGTTCTTATTACAATTGCCTTAGAGGTTAAGACTTGCAATAGAAGTATAAAGCTTCATGTGCTCTTGTACCTACATTTCGCTATATAATACATCAACTACCCCCCGCCCCCCGACCCTTGAATGGCGACGACATTGTACTGAACATAAAATCATTAGACTGCTATATTACTCTGGTATACTGTGCGAGCTTGGTCCTTCGCCGGTCGAGCCGACATATTCGTGCCTACTCTGTACTCTACATTACGTAAAAGACCACCACGTAAATTTTACCATGTAAAATTAAATTTATGACAAAAATTATTCGTATATATTGTCTTTAATTGTTCATTTTGTAATTGATGATTAATTAGTTAATTACGAATAGTTTCACCTTTATTCATCAATATAAAATCGCTTATAATATCCCTAATAATTGACAAAATTGACGACATATATTTCAAATCTTCCTCGTTATGTCATAATATACAATATGTATGTATATATGTAACATAATACTTGGACTCTCAAAAGCTCCCACTCCGGACACCTCTGCTTTTAATTTTAGCCAATTTAACAGTTGTGATGTTATGAGATTCATAATGTCCATCCATTCAAATTCGATTGATAGTGACTGCATTAGTCGGAAAATGGTCATCACTTTCATTGATCTCCTTTTACCTATAATCACCTCTATCCTGAATAATTCACTGAATTCTGCTTTTTTCCCTTCAGCTTGGAAAGACGCATTTGTAGTTCCTCTTCCGAAAAAGTCAAATCCCTCTAGTTTTTCCGATTATAGACCTATCTCTATTTTGCCTTTCTTTTCCAAAGTTCTAGAACGTCTTGTGCACAATCAATTAAGCACCTATCTTTTAAAGCACAATCTTTTAAATCCCTTGCAATCCGGTTTCCGTCCTGGCCATAGTACGACTACTACACTTTTACAAATCACTGATGATATTCGGTATGGTATGGAGAAACAAAAGCTTACCATTCTCACGTTGCTTGATTTTAGTAACGCATATAATACTGAAGATTTTGACATCTTCTTAAGCATCCTACGCTCTCTCAACATATCTCCAACTGTAGTTGACTGATTAAAACTACTTTTACGGATTTTATCGCGTTTATTTTTACATTTTATTTTTAATTCCCGACGTTTCGGGCGCTTTCCAGCACCCATGGTCACGGGGGACTGAGATGACTGACGTCCCGATGTCATTGTTAAACCCGGAGTACCTTCAGCTTTTTTAATTATTGTTTATGGTCCGATCTATGCAAAATGAACTGACTATGGCCTGAGGTCTTACAGTGGTATGCTTGGGTTTAGTTTTAATTTTATTGATTATAGGATCCCAAGCAGGTGGTAGTACCCAGCCTCCTTCTCTATTGAAATTAGGATGTTTTTTAATTTCAATAGCCTCACGTATCATCCTTGGTAGGAATCGGTGTTCTTTCGTGAGGATTTGTGGTCTATCAAATCTGATGTAATGGTTGGGGCCGTCTAGGATATGATCACAAACTGCAGACTTCCCGGAACGTTGATGCTTCACATCAGCTATATGTTCTTTTACGCGGTACGCGGGAGATCAATTAGGTCCTAATTGATCTCCCGCGATTGATTGATAAAATCAAAAAAGGTCAGATTTGATAGACCACAAATCCTCACGAAAGAACACCGATTCCTACCAAGGATGATACGTGAGGCTATTGAAATTAAAAAACATCCTAATTTCAATAGAGAAGGAGGCTGGGTACTACCACCTGCTTGGGATCCTATAATCAATAAAATTAAAACTTAACCCAAGTATACCACTGCAAGACCTCAAGACATAGTTCATTTTGCATAGATCGGACCATAAACAATAATTCAAAAAGCTGAAGGTACTCCGGGTTTAACAATGACATCGGGACGTCAGTCATCTCAGTCCCCCGTGACCATGGGTGCTGGAAAGCGCCCGAAACGTCGGGAATTAAAAATAAAATGTAAAAATAAACGCGATAAAATCCGTAAAAGTAGTTTTAATCATGTGTAGTGTTCGCGTAAATATAAGAAATCATTATGTAGTTGACTGGTTTCGAAGTTACTTGTTTGGTTGCCGACAGCGAATTCAGGTGCAAGAGGTTTTTTCCACCTGGACTACTACAGCTGCTGGTGTACCACAAGGTGGCGTGTTGTCTCCTCTCCTTTTTGCAATTTTCATTAACTCTATAAGTCATAATTTGTCCTCTTCCTACTACTTGTATGCTGATGATCTCCAAATCTATACTCAGTCCTCTCTTGAAGATCTATCTAAAGCAGTTGACACTATTAACGCTGATCTGACTTGTATTTCGAATTGGAGTAAATGTTATGGTTTAACGATTAATGCTAACAAAACTCAGGCCATTGTCATCGGTAGTTCTAGATTAATTGGTAAAATTGACTGGTCTTCCCTACCCCCTATTATACTTGACTGCACTCTAATCCCTTACAGTAACAAGGTTAAAAACCTGGGGTTGTATCTTGACTCCTGTATGTCTTGGACCTCACAGGTTAATGAGGTCGATAGAAAAATGTTTACTGCGTTAAGCTCTTTACGTAGATTACGTAATTTTCTTCCCACAGCAACTAAAGTTACGCTCACCCAGTCTCTACTTCTGCCTATCCTTGACTATGCTGATATTTGCTACCTTGACATTACCGAGGAGCAGCTTAATAAGCTTGAGCGCATTCAAAATTTATGCATTTGATTTATATTTGGGCTTCGCAAATATGATCATATCTCCGAATTTCGCAAACAGCTCAAATGGCTCCCGATCCGCCTTCGCAGGAATACTCACATTCTCTCCGCGTTGTATAGTGTGCTGTTTAATCCTTCTACTCCTCTTTATTTAAAAAACCGTTTCCAGTATCTTTCTCTTACCCATAATCGGTTCCTTCGATCCTCCGTCAATCTTTCTCTCTCTACACCTTTGCACTCTTCTTCTTTTTTCAAGAAATCCTTCACCGTAACCGCTGTACGATTGTGGAACTCCTTACCTCTCCATATTCGTCGTGCTAAATCTCTTCACTCTTTCAAAATTCTTGTTAAATCGTATTATTTAGAACGCTATTAGATAAATTACTTTACCTTTCTCGTACTCTTTTCATTTAATCTATTATATGATATTTTATATATAAATTTCACTTATTTTTATTTGTATGTATTATTGTATTTTTTTATTATTATTATTATTTTGTATGCCCCCCCTCTATTTATAACTTTTGTTTGCATCATTCCTCTACGCAAAGGTTGTCTGGAAGAAATCACTTTCAGTGATAAGACCGCCTATTGTACATACTTTAATTAGTTTTAACTATATTGATGTTTCTGTATTGTGGTGTACAAAAAAGAATAAATAAATTAATAAATATGTATTTCAATCAGGCTCGAAAAAATATGAAAGTTAAAAAAGGTTTAGTCGGCCGTTCGATGTACTGATCCAGTTCATTATATTTTATCATCTCTTATTACAGTCTCTAAAACTAGCAGCAAAGGTGTCGCGACAGCATTCAAGAAAATTGTTAAGATCACCTCAATACATATCAGTGCAGATTTATCGACACATAATGGCGTCGCTCATAAGGGCATTGGACAACTACATCGTCACGACTTGCATATTGACGTCGTGGAAAGAGTTTGAAAGCGATTTGAAAAAAGCACGCACTTTAGATGATCTCTACGAGTGCCATGTTGTATATATAAAGAAGGTTCTGTTTAGATGTCTCCTAAATAACCGGTCGACGCCCGTTATGAAGCTATTGAACGACATATTCACAGTTATATTGAAATTTAGTCGAGTTTTAAAAGCAGGGTAAGTTAAAATTTTATTATGTGTATATATATATTACGTAAAATTTACAGCAGCACACAAAAATTATTTCGAGTATTTTGTAAAAAGTGATAAATAATAATATTGTATTTATGTATGAACAAGTAAAAAAGATTTTTTTTTTATAGAAGAGGGGGCAAACGAGCATGCGGCTCACCTGATGTTAAGTGACTACCGCCGCCCATGATCAACCGCAACACCAGGGGAATTGCAGGTGCGTTGCCGGCCCTTTAGAAAGGAGTACGCTCTTTTTCTTGAAGGTCCACAGGTCGTATCGGTCCGAAAAAATCGCCGGTGGTAAACTATTCCACAGAGAGGTCGCACGCAGAAGAAAACTCCTTGTGAAACGTACAGTGGTGGACCGCCAAGCATCCAGATGGTGTGTATGGTATCAGGACGTTTGCCGCGTAGTGCGTTCACGAAATTTGGCGGCTGGAATTAATATCCGAACAATTCCTCAGAGCACTTCCCATGGTATATGCGAAAGAAAATGCAAAGAGAGGCAACATCTCTTCGCAGCGCCAGTGAATCGAGCCGATCGGAAAGCACTCGGTCGTAGACGATTCGAGCCGCTGGTACTGGGGAGCCCCAGCCCAGAGATGGGAACAATATTCCATGTGCGGCCGAACCTGCGCCTTGTAAAGTTGCAGGCGGTGTGCCGCTCTGCTGAGCTTTTTAGAGGCCATTTTGGCCTCTAAAAAGCTCACTAAAACTCGTTAAATATAGTTGTTTTAAGGTAGTAATTAATATTTGTGATTATGATACTTCATGTTCATCATCATCATTACAATGCCTCACAAGTCCACTGTTGAACATAGGCCTTCTTTAAGAAATATCACAAAACACGATCCTAAATCACTTGCATCCATCGACGCCCTGCATCAATTACCAGGTCATAATTTACTTAACTTCACGAGGCTGCCACTTGCACCTTTCTTCTCCATCGGTTGTCGGTTCCTCAAAGTATATTTGGCCGGCCCATTGGCTTAAGCTTACTGACCCGTTACGCTATGCCAGTTACGCTGGTTCTACTGCGGGTATCCTCATTACGAAGAGAGGCAGAGAATTCTCTGGCAGAGAATTCACTAAAAATATTTACTTAAAATTTAATTAAACAAAATAGAGAAAATGAAGCAACAAAGGAACTTTCGATATAATTTTAAAAATTAAGTTTTAATTTTTAAAAGCATTAAGTTTTAAAATTTATTTTACAGCGAATGGCAACAGAAAGAGGTCAACGCTTGCTTTACTCATACGAATTATCCGCAACTGGAAGAATTGTTCCATTTATTTGAAAAGCTGGCCAAATATTTGCACAAAGTTGTTACAAAGCTAATGGAGTGTGGGTATCAACGCCATTTGGTCGAGCTGCTCACGATGGTTAATTTGAACGGCTATTACAACCCTGATAAGTCAAAGGAAGAACATAATACCACTGTTCAGACGAATTGAAATAAGGGCAGCATTTGCACAATGCAAAAAGTCGAATATAGCAGTAGTTTACGTATACAGAAATAAACGCAAGAATATAGGATAAAAATATCAGAATAATTCTGTAGGCGTAAATGCTAAAAATTAGTAAATATTACTGCAGAAATTAATAAATCTAACTAAATTAAACATTAATATTGAGATCGATTTCATATCATGAAAGCATTGTTTGCCTGCTTATATCGTATTTGCTGATAAATAATGCAGTATATTATTTCTTAATACTTAAGCTGTTTTCTTAAATGAAATAAAGTATGATATTTATTAAAGTTTGGTTATGAGTCTTTACATAATTAAAATAGAATTGCAAGTCGTTTTACACTTAAAATATAGCCGTCTTATTTTGAGAGTATAGTTATTGAACCATATAAAACAAATTTAAGGGTTTTTTATAAAAACAATTACTGAAATCTGTTCAATTTGAAATATCTATTGTTAAGTCCTATCCATAATATAGAACCAATAATTTCTTGTTAATTGTAAATGTTAAGTAGCTTGCTTGATAAATGTAAGTTGTTTCGCTTTAAAAAATCTGTGTGGTAATAATATTTTGTGGCATTTATTAAGACTAATACGATTTAAAAGTAAAATAAGGATTTTAATGTAATTTAAATTGTGAATCAATTTATTGTTAGTTAAAAGTAAGTTGTATGTTAACTTTGTGATATTTCTATAAAAGACATATCTTTTACTTTGAACTTTATGGCCCACCAATTATGATTAACAAATTTCGTGCTTGTAATAATAGTTATTGTTCTATACTAATGTTAATTACGTTGCGGTATTTGCCAAATTGTTGCGTTTAACAATACTCTTGTTTTTTAAACCTTCTTTTCAACGAAGTGTAAATTCATATTACTAGTATATGTTTTAATGTTGAACTTTATTTAAAAAAAATATTTAAAAATAATAACATTAACATAAATTGGAGTTTTTTTTTCTGTTCTTTATCAATTCTACACATCGTGTTCGCTTCATAAATTTCGAATAATTGGAACCCAATAAGAAGGCTAGGCTATATGCCAAAGCATCGAATAATGTCAATAATCTGTATGCAACATAACTTTCGAATGTACGCTAAAAGAAATTGACAATCTGTCACTTATTCATTATAAGTTATCTACTGCTTGTATCATCCGTATGCAGACGGATCTTTACTGTATTTTTTTTATAAAACTGAAGTGATGTAGGTTCTTACGTCCACCTGATGGTAAGTGGCTACTGAAGGCCATGAACACCTGCGATGGTGCGTTATGTTCTCTGAGGAGAGAAGCTCAAAACTTTTTTACACGCTTCGGGCCGGAAAAAAGCAGGTCAAGTACTGACTACCATTCGAAAAGGAGTTGTACCATCTAGTAAACAAAACTTACTTGTTCTAGAAATAAGCTAAGCCTTGAATGTGACCATAGGTCGATTTGTTCGAAGAAGATCGAAAGCGATCCCTGCCGGCACCAATGAAAATGTTACGTGCTCAGCGTTGAAGAAAAACATCGTGAGGAAACCTGCATGTTTGAAAAATAAGAAAAAATATTTCAAAGACATGTGAAGTTCGCCAACACGCGGCAGACATTTCCTTCCTCTAGAACCCTCTCAGAAATGATAGAAGGCCTGTGCCCAGCAGTGCGACGTATATAGGCTGTAATTTTAACTTTAATTTCCGGCAATTAAATTCTAACAAATTTGTTGTATCGAAATTGGTAGAAACTGGCAAGCGTAGTAACTATGAAGAATGCCCTATGAGTAACGTGACCTTATATTTTAAGCGACAAATAAAAGCGCAAAGAAAACGTACGAGCACTAGAGCACGGTTAACTGAGACATTTTTAACCATAAATAGGTTAAGCAGCCACGGGGAAGTTAGACAGCCCTGTCTGACACCTTTTTGGATGCCAAACCAGTCCGATTAGACCATGTTTCTACTTCTTTCGGAATTTCTAGTTCATTTAATTCAGACGGCTCTTCACTCGTAAACACGCTTTCAAATTATTTATACTCTACATCTCTTTAAACTCGAAACTTCGTTATTTAGTATACAGCCATACTCGTCTCGTACAGTATTCATTCTAGACTCTTTTGAATTTCCTCTAGCAGTTCTTACGAATTTCCAGAACATTTTAATATTTACCTGGAAGTTGTCAGATATCCTATTTATTATATTCTATCATTTTTATCCGATCTTTCTTGCGTTTTACTTTTAACTACTTCTTTTACTCTCTCATTTAGACATCTAAAGTCTGCCTTTTTCTTTCAATCTCATCAATCATACCGCCAGAATTACCAGATTTGTATCTACCACTGAGCTCTTCATTCTTTCACCCACAATTGTGAAATCCATCATGCTTCTATTATCGCCTCTTTCCTATGTATAGATAGATGTGATTCTTCTTATGACGAAAGAAAGTGTTAGTCACAAAAACATTATTTTCCACACGTACCTGAGCAAGCCTTCACCATTCACATTTATACTTTCATCACCAAACGTTCCCAATCTCCTTTCATAACCAGACCTCTCCACCCCAACTCTAATAATATTTCCCTTACATTTCATCAACACCATCCTTACCATGTCCCAAAACTGCTCACGGATATAAGTGGACTTAAACATGTCTGAGACGTACACCCCTAGCACCAACAGCTTCTTTAAGATCACTTTCATTCAAAGCAGCCTCGGGCTTACACATTCATACACTGTGACACACAGTGACCCATTCTGTTCGAAATCATGATACCGACTCCCTGGCATGCCAGCTCGGTCTTGTCTACACCAGTCCAGTAAACGATATACATGACATGTGCAGTGGTCCTTTCCCTTTCATTTCGTCTCATTTACTGAATTTTCGTGAATATACATATGTATTATGGCCGACACACACGGTCAGTTAAACGAATCAGTTGAACTGATCAGTTGGACTGATCAGTCCGGATTACCGAGCGTCTACTTTATCTAATTCCCGGTATGGCAATGATGAAAAATGAAAAATCAATATTAGTATTTCTATTACGGAAGCTGAGCTTGTGGCAATCTATGAAGCTTTATCCTACATACAATCAAGCAAATATAACAATGTCGTTATCTTAACAGATTCAATGAGTGCGCTTCAATACCTTGCTCGGTGTACTTGGGTTTTTCAAGGCTTACCAGTAGCATATGTGATTTTAACGCTTCCATTTAAGTTACAGGCTTATTCCAGAATAGTATATTTACAATGGATAACTTCGCACATTGGCTTATAGGGTAATGAAAAAGCGGATAGCTTAGCAAGCTATTTCTGATGGCATTTATATTGATATTACCTCTTCATTTCAAAATTACGTGCCGTTGTTGAGAAAATATTGTTTTGATCTCTGTAAATAATATTTTGACGAAAGAGTAAAAGAAATCTATATGGTACCGTACCGGCCGCACCCAATGCACTCAACCTGGATGGATAACCAATTATTGCGTAAACGCGACACTGTAACAGCATTAAGCTCTCCTTATTAGTTTGTGGCAATATGACTCAGATCTGGGCACATCCCATGCAATAAATATTTATACTTGATGCAAAAACTAAGTCACCAAATTGTTCAACTTGCAGTGTTATTCATGATGTTTATCACATTTTGATAGAATGTGCCCAGAACTCCAGAGAGAGAAAAATTGTAATTTATATTTGTCATTGATAGGCAGTATCTGCTAATAGTATTTTATCAGACCTGTTGTTAGGTGATGCCAAAAAACTTTGTGTTAGTAAATAAGAGATTAAGTAAATTAATAAGTTTATTTATTTAAGCTTTTTGTTGTACCTAACAGGGCCTAATAATCTCATCAGCGACAAAGCCCTTTTTCTATGAATAAAAAAATCTAATCCCCGGCGTTTCCAGATCGGGTGCTTTGCAGCACCCATGGTCATATAGACCTAATATATTCGGGAGGTCAACGGGAGAGTGAAGTGTTTGACGTCCCGATGTCAAAGTTAACCCGGAGTACCTTCAGCTTTTTAATTAAAAATAAGTAAAATTAAACACGATAAAATCCGTACAAGTAGTTTTATTCAATTATCTATTTTTAGCAAACAGAACCTTCCATACAAAGTTCAAATTTTACAACAGTGAACACGGACTGCTTTTTAGGTTTATATAAATATAAACGGCTTATTTTATTATTTAGAAAAATAAAATGATAAAGTTTATGAGTAAAAGATAAAATACACCAAAATATCTATAAAAAAGAATCCCATAGTGTATTATTTGATTTTCTTTAAAAATTATCATTCTTTCACATTATATTATATTTATAATGTTAAGAAGATAGGGTTTCTCCGAACTATGGAGTGTAGAAGTCAGTACAGACCACAGGTACAGACTGTGTATTAAAAAGTGTCCATAGAAAACCGTTAAATAAGGGTGGCGCCACTATAACTACGGGGTATACTTTAAAGAACGCACCGAAAAATATTAGTGGGATAGACTACTTTTTCGAGGTTATATTTACTAAATAAAATTATTTTAGAGCTAATGAGCAGTTTAGCAGTACACTTAAACCGTCGACAACTGCAAAGTTCATTTGATCCCAGTGGCTACTCCAGCGCTGTTGTGGAGAGTTTTTGAGCTGTTATTTACTGCTTACAGATGGCCACTTTTTCAACTATTCTACTATGGGAGTTGATACTCCCTGCTTCTACACTCCATACTCCGAACATTTGTGTGATTTGTTTTCTGTATTTTAGGCTTGGGAAAAAATATCGAAATGTCTATATATTTTCTCACAAAATTATATATACGGTATTTATTGTAGAATATCGAACTAAATTTCGATATATTTTAAAATTATATATTTATTTTATGCCTCCTGCTCATACCACATCATGCAAGACGTTGATATTTATCAGGCGATATTTATCGATATTTTAATTTAACATTAACATTAAAAACATTAAGGATGGGCATTATGGAGTGTTACTTCTACACTCCATAATAGG